TGTTTGTATTTGTTTCTGTATAGACTGTGCCAAGAAAGAGACATAAGAAACTGCATTAACCCTCCTAGGAGAGCAGGTGAGTTACCACTTTGGGTGTTGAGAGCTGGATTCTGTAGGAATGGGGTATGGACTGCGGGGCTGGGAGGACACTTTTGGGGAAAAAACAATGTGCTGTCGGGGGAAGACACCAAATATACATTTTGCCTACTTGGGCTGGCCTGTGCCTGCACACCAGCTGTCCTACTGAGAATGTGAGTATTGTTATTATTTTTACTAACAGTTTTGAGAAATCATTGCCCAATTTTTTAAAATAAATGTTTTAATTGTTACTACCATAGAAGTTCTTAAAGTCCTTTTTGCATTGAGAAAAAATAAAAATGAATTTCCTTTGCAGAAAATAAGGAGTGACTCCTTTTAAAATGGAGAAAATACCTGTTTCAGAGAATGTCCTCCCATCTTTTGATTTTTTAAGAAGCCGTCACTCGTGCTGTCTGTAGATACAGTCGCTGTGTGGACCCAGCTCAGGCACTTCGTCTTTCTGAGCTTTGGTTTCCTAAATGTCTTCATAACACCTACCCTGCCTACCTTAGACCAAAAATGTGGTTACCAATGAGGATCAAATGAGATAAAGTGGGGGCTGGCCCCGTGGCTGAGTGGTTAAGTTCATGCACTCAGCTTCTGTGGCCCAGGTTTTCCATGGCTCAGATCCTGGGTACAGACATGGCACTGCTCATCAGGCCGTGCTGAGACAGAGTCCCACATAACACAACCAGAAGGACTCACAACTAGAATATACAACTACGTACTGGGGGGCTTTGGGGAGAAGAAGAAGAAAAAAGGAAGATTGGCAACAGATGTTAGCTCAGGCGCCAATCTTTAAAAAAAATAAAAATTTAAAAAAATGAGATAAAGTAGGGAAAATGCTTTAAAACTGCCTCATGCTTAACAAATACATTGTTCTTGTAAGCTTTAAAGTGACTCTGGGATGGTGGTGACAGTTGTACAACGCTGTGAATATACTTGACGCCACTGAACTGCACGCTTGAAAGTGGTTAGAATGGTGCGTTTTCAGTTATGTATATTTTACCATCATAAAAAATTTCTTTAAATGACTCTTGGAACTTGTCCTTAGGGTTTGAGGTGTCCCACTTCTTGGTGTGGGCACACAGTGAAATGAACATGGAGGACCCTGGCCTTGTCTTCAGTTAGACCTTCAAGAATATGTTGAAAAAGCTACGTTGGTGACGTGAATATTGGCATCACAGCTCAACAATTGCCTCGATTTCCTCCTTTCTTCCTTTTTTTGTTCTAGGGCTTTAGTGCGTAATTGCACACCCTCGTGGTAAGTTTAGTTCTCTATGTGAGCCGCTGCCTCAGTGTGACAACTGACAGACGGGTGGCGTGTTCCATGACGGGGCAACAAACCCGGGCTGCGGCGGTGAGAGCACCAAATCTTAACCACTAGACTACCAGGGCCGCTTCAATTTCCTCCTTTCTAGATCAGTGATATGGGCTCTTGTCTGCAATAGTTTCTTTTGAGAGAGTAGAGGAGCAGGGACTGGCAACCAGCAAGTTGCAGAATATTCGTGTTGAGGTCAGCGACTATAAACCTTTCTATCTGCCCCTGACTGTCTAATCATCTCAATTCCGAAATAAAAATGCTGGCTGTTAACAACGTTTGGACAACCAGTTGATTCCCTCCCTGCAGGGCCCAGGAGGGGATGGAATGGATTGACAGGAAGCCATCTCTTTTCCTTTCCCTCTCCACTTCTGGAGGGAGTCCAGGGCCCAGCCAAGGCCAGCGCCAGAATCAAAAAAGGAGGAAGGGGGACCCAATCGAATCCACAAACTAGACCACCGGCCTGGGTCAGCCACACACAAGTAAATAAGGAAGCAGCAAACGAAAGAAGGCGCACAGTCAGAGGATTTTTGTTTCACTGTCGGTATTTATCTGTGACTGACGCCCTGTGGTTCGAATCCAGTCCAGTGCGGGAAGGGTGCGCGGCAGGCGGGTGAGAAGACGTCCAGTCCTTCTCGGCTTCCTTAGGGAGACTCACAGCTCCAGATGGAGAGCTGAGGCTTTGGGGCAGGGCTCCGGGTGGGAGCCAAGTGTCAGGAGGGTGGAAACCCCTTGGCGGTTAGGTCGCACCAGGCTGTCCTCACCCTGCGCTGGGCAGGCCCGCTCCCAAGGCCCTGCTGCTGCACCTCCAGGTCCCCCAGCTGCCCTGGGACTACAGACCACCTACATTATTCATTTCGATATAAAGACATAGCTCAAGATGGAGGCAAGAAACCAGTTAGAGAAAGTGAATTAATAATGATCCTTGCGGATCACAATAGAATCTTAACCGACTTAAGGTTCACGACTCCCTTGTTAGTTATTCATCTTCGTTTTTAAGAAGAGCTAAGGCTGGGAGAGCCTAGGATCAACACCTTACAAATGACACAAGTGGAAGCCCTGAGACCCGCCACTCATCCTCAGCACCTCCAGGGGCTCATCCATGTCTGCCGGGCTGGGCCTGGGTGCAGACAGGGGATGAGCAGAAACCCTCCACTGAGACTTCCCCGGCCCTGCCACTTGTCAGCTGATTGATGCTGAACTTAGTTCCTCACCTGTACAATATGTTGCGTAATTCAAACCGCCTTACAGACGTTGTGAGCCGAAGTAACAAAGGTAGTGAATATTTGTTGAGAACTGTTGGAGGCCAGAGCGCGACACTAAGGGCTCAGTCTGTCTTGTCTCCCGTAATTCTGCTCAGGTGGGAATTCCAAAACTGGGGCCTGAAGACTGGCATTTTTTGAGACTTGTCAGGTAATTCTCAGATCAGTCAAATTGAGAGCCATGGTTGTGTATTAATATTTAGACAGTGATTAACTGGTCAGGGTCTTAGAGACAGACAGACATCATTCTGTCACTCGCTAGTTGAATGCACTTGGCCAAAGCTTTCAACTTCTCCAAGCCTCAGCTTCCTCATCCATAAAATGGGAGCAAAAATAGCATCCACTTCTGAGAATTGTCCAGAAGGTGAAATGAGCCAGTTTAGGTGGTCGTGTCTGGCACACAAAATGTTTGATAAATGTTAGCGGGTGCCATTAGACCAGCTCCTTTTCTCAGGGGACTGAGAACCCAAAGACTGTCTGACCTTTGTGCATAGTCACTCTATCCTAGTTTAAATTTATTGCTCTTCCATCCCCACGGTTCACTTCAAATCCTAAGCGTTGGGGAAGAGGGGCTATTGTGTTATAGTGGAAAAATCCTTGTGTGTGGCCCAACAGGACTGAGTTTGAGTCTATGTAACTGTTTAAGCCTCAGTTTCCTCATCCATCACGTGGGAGAACGATCCCCTGCATTGCTGAGAGAATTAGAGATAATTCGTGTAAAGGGTACAAATATAGGTACTGCATTATTGTCAGTGTTTCAGTTACAAATGCACAAGATGATGTAGTCCATTTGCTTATTTTTTCTTTTGTTTCCCTTGCCCGGTCAGACATGGTACTTGAAAATATGCTGCTAAGACCCACGTCAAAGGGTGTACTGCCTACGTTTTCATCTAGGAGTTTTATAGTTTCAGGTCTTGCATTCAAGTCTTTAATCCATTTTGAGTTAATTTTTGCATATGGTGTAAGATAGTGGTCTACTTTCATTCTTTTGCATGTGGCTGAGGGGAAAGGAGTTGGGGGAGGGCAAAAGGTATAGGGGGCACATGTGTATGGTGACAGATGAACCCCAGACTATGGGTGGTGGACACAATACAATCTATATAGAAATGGAAATATAATAATGTACACCTGAAATTTACACAATTTTATAAGCCAATATGACCTCAATAAAATAATTTTTTAAAATGTACAAGATATGAAAACAAAAGGGCAGGGGCCGGCCCTGTGGCCGAGTGGGTGAGTTCGTGCACTCCGCTTCAGCGGCCCAGGGTTACGCTGGTTCGGATCCTGGGCGCGGACATGGCACTGCTCATCAGGCCGTGCTGAGGCGGCATCCCACACGCCACAACTAGAAGAACCCACAACTAAAAATACACAACTATGTACCGGGGGGCTTTGGGAGAAAAAGGAAAATAAAATCTTTATAAAAGAAAACAAACGGGCAGAAAATCCCTAAAAGAATTCAAACAGGAAACAGAAGCAGAGAGTGGGGAGGGTATGAAGGACGAAGAAAAGCTGGGGAGGGCCCAGGGCAGGTCCTGAGAGACAGATCTCCGTATCACCACCGCCCCAGCCTCCGCTCGGAGAGGCCCTGCTCACTATAGCCCTGGGCGCGTGGCCAGGGGTGCGAACAGTGCTGTTAGCCTACTCAGGACTGGATCAGACCCACCCCCCTTTTTTCACACAGAGTCTCCCCACATTTCAGCTAGAAGCCTGCTTTGACTCAAGGAGCGCCCCAGCCACAGGATCTCAGGGCTAGTCTGTGGCTTCCAGGCTGAGATTTGGGCCACAGCACAGAGGGGCAATTCCTCTCCTCAGACCCCTGTCAGGGGAGAGTGGCATTATACTTGCCATGGCAGTCTGAAGCCTGTCTTTTACAGGGGTTATTAATACTAAATGTAGTCAGCAGAAATGCCTTCCAGTAAAGCATGTCCAGCTTCCTGGTTTTCAGTTTGCACAATGACGAATTGTCTGTCAGCTCCTCCTCCTCTGAATGGTTGGATCTTGGGCATCGGTTGCTTCAAATAAGAAACATTTCTTGTTGGAGTGAGTCATTCTGTTCTCCAGTTTTAGGAATCAGGCTTATTCTCTAGTTCTTTCTGTTGAGACAGTTTCTTTCTCCTTGCTGAGACCAGATTCTGCCCTTCTGCCGGAGGGCAATGATTTCACAGGTTCTCCTCTGCCTCTTGTCATTTTTTAAAGCCCTGTTGAATTTGCTAGTAAATTCTGAATGTGGAGAGCAGAGAAACAGGAAGAGAGTCCCTCGGAGGAGAAAAGCTGGGGCGGGGAGATCGAAAGTGAAAGAAGTCTTCTTCCTGGAGGCGTTTCCCTTCTGCTCCCCTCCTCCCTCCCTGTTTCACGGGACTTTTCTCTGGCTGTGTGGACAAGCCTCAGGAATTTGAGTGTGTGAAGTTAGGCTGTTCAGGGGTCTTGGCTTGGGGACCCGGTGACTGTGATGTTGCTGGGACTGGTTGGAGAAGGTGAGTGCCTGGTGCAGAGGTGTCTTCTGGGGACCGCGTTTCCAGACTCGCTCACTGGGGGTCAGCTCTGGCCTGCCGAGTGGGGACACCACAGGGCCTGCCAGGGTCCTGATGCCCCAGCGAGGTTCCTCTCTGAACCACAGCCACCGCCTCGTGCCTCTTTAACTCTGAGGAGCCTCCAGTCCCTCTGCTGCTTTTCTGGTCACAGAGTCTCCCCAGACACCTCAACACAGACACACTGACTCCCTCCTGCTGGATCCCACAAGACTTTATTAACCTACTTATGTTTGTTTCCTTTTCTGTTAGGCCCTGGGACAGAGGTTGAGTTAATCATTCTATCAGGCTCCATGCCCTGTCGTCCTTGGACTCCCAGCCCGCAGCCCTCCCCCCCCCCCTCCCCGCTGCATTCTAGGCACTTTCTTTGATCCCCCCACTCCCACCGCACTTCCAACCCCCTCACCGGCTCCCAAAGACAACTGTCTACATCTTTTGATACATATCCCTGAATTGATCTGTGTCTTTGCAAAATGTATCATTGTTTTGTGTGTGTACACTAATTTTAAACTCTGTCACCTGGAGCAAGTAAGTATTTCTCTCTCTGTTTCCTCATCATTAAATGGGATTAATGCTACCTCCTGAGGTGGTTGGGAGGATTGAAGGAGATAGTATGTGTTAACCACTTATAAGAGTGACAGGCACCACGAAGTACCCAGTAGTTGTTAGCAATTATTATTACGTATTAGTATTATTTGTAAAGAGGAAGCACTCTGCCCTCTAAGTTCTGTGTATTTTGCCAGGTCCCACTCCCTAACCACTGCGAGGGAACACATGGTGGACAGGCTCCACAATCCTGTATGAGGACTACGTAAGAACCTGGCCACCAATCCTTGGCCTGATCCATCTCGCAAGCCTTTGCCAATCCGATAGGTATAAAGTGGGTATCTCGTTGCTTCATTTTGCGTGTCCCGGATTACTGATGAGTTTGACCATCACTTGGTACCTTTGGCTATTTGAGCATCCTATCAGGGAGCTCCACGTTTGTATCCATTGTCAGGGAGTTCCACGTTTGTATCCATTGTCCTTCTTTTCCTGTTGATTTGCAGGAAACGTTTGTATGTTCTGGATCTTGCTACTCCCGTGGCAGGTCCTGGGAACACGGACATGAAAGATGTGGTACCTGACCTGTGAGGCTCACAGCCCAGGATAGGAACTAGTCACAAAATAGCAAGACAAGTGGTGGGGTGGATGCTCAGGAAGCATCAAGAAAGAGCCAGGGAACACCTCCTGGGCGCGGATTTAGCCACTGACAGGCTTTCATTCCCTTGCTGTGTTCTCACACGGGCTTTGCAGGTGGAATCAAGCGGTCGTGAGGGGCTTCATATTACCGTGGCACCCTTGCCTCGCCTGTTAAGGCGAAGAGGCGCTTCCACACACCTTGTCTCATCCTCTCAGCTCTCATGTGAGCCTCTGCCCTCCAAAAGCTTATGTTTCTTTTGGGGAAAGAAAAAAGGCAGTTTCAGAGAAGAGAGGTACTTGATTTTTTTCCCCTACTTTTAACATCAGAAAACATTTCAACCAACTCACAGCAAAAAGAAAAGGCTAAGATGTGTTCACATCACCAGGGCCCAGACCACGGTGAGGGCCCCAGGATTTGCCTCTGTGGTAAGGTCTGCTGGGCCTCCTTGGAGGAAGGCCTTTGGTTCTAGAATTTTCTAGACTGCTAAGGGGGGAATCTAGTGGCCTCGGGGCCCATGGAGGTGATCCTTGTGTTTGAGTGCAGGTGGGAAACTGCGGGAGTTAGCTGTAGGAGTTAGCAAGCCGTGAGAGCCGTGGGGAGGGCACGCAGTTCTCAGATCTCACGATCTCTCTGAAGTGCTCAACCAATACTTATTGAATGAAAACATTAAAGTCTTAATAATGAACCCAGAAAATCTGTAAATTCCTGAAATATGAAAAGAAAGTGTTCTTAGTTGACATCCAGTCCAACTTTCTTCTTTCGGATTGTGGTACTGAGGCCCCGGAGGTGAAAAGACCCGTCCAAAGTCACACAGTCAGAGCCAAGGTTCGGGTGGCCAGCTTCCCCAGCCAGCACTCTGTGGCCTGTTGTACCTGGCCTCTCTCTCGCAGCTCTAGGAGGAGGCGCGGCTCCGAGGCCGGCCTACCTCACTCAGCCTATCGACTCAGGAGTTTTGAAAACAGGAAGTAGAGCGAGCTGTGCTTTTGGTTCTTCACTTGTTTTTCACTCTTGTCTTAGATGCACCAGGAGAAAGAAGCCTGAGAAGAAGCTGCTGCCACTGTGAAGGTCCCAGGATTGGCCTTTGTAAGGTTGGTTGGGCCTTTGGGGAAGAAGACCTTCGATTCTAGAGTTTTCTAGGCTGCTGAGGGTGGGATCTGGGTGATCCTTGCATTGGAGTGTAGAGCACAGAGTTAGCACTTCCTCTGAGAGTCATGGCGAGCGCCCCACAGTTTCCAGATCTCAAGGCCCCTCCAGCTCAGATTGATGTGTCCCTGGGGGCTTTTCTGGAATGCTCCAAGTACAGCTATCCATATAGCTATCCATATAACCCAAAAAGTTCAATTATTCATTTTTTAAAGGAAATTAAAAAGGTACAGAACAATCCAGAAAATAATAGAATGGCATGCACAGACCGACAAAATCAGAGACCTGTGCTTGTGGGGTCAAGCATGCAGAGGTGAAGTCATGAATGTCATTCAGTTGGAAAATTACTGGTTGGTTACAGGTTTGATTGAGTTTGAACACCTTTACTATGCTGTGGGAAGGCCCTGGCCGCAGGGCCCTGCGGTGGACCGTGTGGATGCCTGTCAGGTTCTGTGGGAGCCCCCAATCTGGGGTGGCCATCCTGGGTGGAGGAAGCAGCCACACCCTCACTTAGGGGTTTAGGCTCAGAGCGGCTTTCAAGTTCTCTGGAGCTTTGAATGAGATGCAGATTTTTGTCTCAAAAGGTTAATGCAAGTTTTGGGTTTATTTTCCCTAGCTTTGAGGTAGTTATCCATATCACTGAAGGAGCTAGCGTGCTGCTGGAATATTGCTAGAAGGATTGTTTGTGCGTAGATGGAGTTTATTTGCAATTTAACTTGTGGCGTATAAGGTGAGGGTAGAGTTGGGACTCTGGAATGAGGTGCCGAGGTCTGAATCCAGGCTCCAGCGCCTGCTGGTTGGTTTGTAAAGTTCTGACCCTCTCTCTGCTATAGTGGATTTGTTAAGAATTCATGTTTTCGTGTTTTGGGTGGGTTTTTTTGGTCTTTTAAAATTTTTTATAATTTTAATCTTTAAAAATATTATGATTATATGTCTTTTTTTGCTAAATTCCATCACTGGCTTCCAAGTGCAATTAGAAAAAAGTCTGAATTTTGGCAGAGCCTGGCATTGCAGCTCCCGAGTGAGATGCTTAAATCTGAGCCTGACTGTGCTCTCATTACCTTGATTTCTAAACTGATTTTTCACAGTAGTAAGATGAGGGCGATAATAGTTCTTCAGAGGCTTGTAGTAAAATGAGACAAGAAAAAATATTTTTATGTTTACAGGGATATATGTTATAAACATTTATATATCATAATATACACATTTACATGGAAAGACTTCCTGACATAAATTTATTATATAATATATAAAATATACTATATACTACAAATATATTTATATATAACATATTTGTATGTAGCAGATTTATTATTAACAGATATTATACAGTTGAATTTATTATTTAACAGATTTATTATTTAACACATATTGTAAAATTGAAAGTAAAAGAAAACTTCCTGGAGGTGTTTCCATCCACCACTCTCTTCCGCCTTATACGTATTATGTACCAAAAGATTCTAATTTATACATCTTATATATGTACATACATACAGTAAAACAAAATATGTAAATTAAATTGGGAAAAAAACACCAAATGTGACAGAAGAATTACTTCTGAATGATGAGTTTCTGAGAGATTTTTCTTTTTCTTTTTACACTCTTCTTCACTTTCTCTAAGGCACAAGTGCACTTTTACTATTTGAGGATCAGAAAAATACAGCAGTGAGTGTTCTTGTAAAGCTGTTACTTTACCAACATTTCTGGCCCCTGGGCTCGGGCCGTGAACCCGGGGCTGTGAAACAAGAAGCCGGGTGCCTGCACTCAGAGCCTGATGCTGGCAGGCGCCCTCTGTAAACGGTGTAAGATCCTGGGCAGGTGATTGCTGCCCGGGCACTGTGACTAGAAAGACTTGTCACCTAATCGAACAAACTCACAGAGACTGAGTACCCTACCACAGGCGTCCTTCTCAGCGCCATTACGGCATGATGCAAAAATCACTTAGGAAGCATCGTCGTGTTATTGCAAAGATGACGAAATGCGTGGCTGAACTGGCTACAGAGGACAGGAGCCGAGCACCAGTCATGTCACGTCCAAGTTCATGTCATTCTGCCTTTGGATTGTAGGATTCTTTTTTTAATTATATACTGTCAGAAAATACTATTGACTATATAACTTAAAAAGGTTTATTCCTTTTGATTCAGTAATACTACTTCTAGGAAATTATTCTAGGAATATAATCAGGAGTGTACATGGAGATCTGCATTTTAAGATCATCCTAAATGAATCAGGGACTGGTTGCATAAATTATGGCCCATTCATATGATTAGATGCTTTACAGATTTAAAAATCTGTGCTGTGGAAAAAAAAAATGAAGACATCAAGATGTTCTTACAATGTTGCCAGTGGAAAAATCTACTTATATCTCAGAAATATGGTGTGTTCAAATGTGTGGAAAAATACGTATACATAAAATATTTGGTAAGAAAGACAGTAAAGTATTATTAGGCATCTATCTTTAGGTGATAGAATTATGGCTAATTTTTATTTTTTTAAAAATCTTTTCTGTATTTTCTAGAATGAATACAATAAGCATTGTTATCATCAGAAAAAAATAATTGTGGAGGGAAAAAGGAGATTCTGCTTTCATTTGATTCTTTGATCAATTTTATTCTGTAAAATGAGATTTTAACAGTGCTTAGAACGGATTTAAAGTTTTAGGGACACTGGCCCTAACTGTGCTAAACAGGGCTGAACATAGTTTACGTCCTTTCCAGAATATGAAAGAAAATGAGTCTTTAAATAAAGATTTTAATTTAGGTATTTGTACATTTAAAGTAGTAATACATGGATATGGTAAAAATTCAAAAAGGGTATTATAGAATGTAAAGCAAGCCCCTCTTCTGTCCACCCTAAGCCTCTCCCATCCCTCCAGTTCCTCTCCTCTGAGGCAACCAGTGAAGCAGCTTCCTGTGTGTTTTATTTAAAGACCTGTGAATACACAAATCCATGCACCACATAATAATGCATTATACTGTTGTTAGCGCCGTGGACAATTCCTAGTGACCATGTGGACAGCAGAGCTGACCCTGCCTGGTCTTTTTGCACCATCCTCTCACCTCCATGGGTGACCCTGCTGGTATCGGAAATACTGATGGCATAGCTTTCAGCATCACAGCAAACATGCCGCTGCCACAGTATGACAACCTAGGAGTCAGGGCCCGGGGAAACGAACCCGAGCCATGGTGGTGAGAGCGCTGAGTCTTAACCACTAGACCAGCAGGGCCGCTCAGGCCATTTTATAAATCACACATTTCCAATCATGTAGATCTTCCCATCCTTTTTAAGAGCTGAATAGAGTTCCCCTGAATGTGATTAATAGCTTATTTAACTCTTCTTATACTGATAAATGGTTCTTTCTACTCTTTTATGTCAAGCAATGCTGCCATAAGTAACCTTTATGTGTGTTTTATCACACTAACGTTTAAGCTAATGTAGGAAAAACTCCTGGAAGTTAAATGATGCGGTCAAAGGATATGTACATTTTATATTTTGACCCATATGGTCAAATTACCACCTACCTGTTTTTATTCCACCCTCTCACAGCACTGTATTGCAAGTTTTGGGCTTCACCAATTTGATGGTTAAAAAATGGTAGTTTGCAATTTCAGTTTCCCTTTTTGTTTTCCTTGCTGTGAATGAAGTTGAACATCTTTTCAAATGTGTAAAAGCCGTTGGTTTTAAAAAGTAAAGCCATTGTACATACTTTTCTCTGGACTGTCTGCTTGTGATCTCTACCTGTTTATGCAGTGGGTTATTCACCTCTCTCTCTTTCTCTTTTTTAAATTAACTTATAGGAGGCTTATTTTAAGAAAATTGGTCCCTTTTCTATCGTACATCAAATCATTGCCTTTTTTCCCCCAGTGCAAGATTTTTGTTTGTTTGTTCAGGTTATTTTTGCAGAATATTTCAGTTGTTATTTAAGGACATTTATCAATCTTTCCTTAATGGCTTTTGGGCTTTCTGTTATCCTTGGAAAAGTTCTTCACTGCTGCAAGATTATTTTGAAAAATTCTCCTATGTTTCTTTCCTTAGCACGTTAATTTTAGAGTTTTAATCTTTGATCCATCTGAAATTTATTTTGATGTAAGGCTTTCAGTTAGGGTCCATTTCAGTTTGTTCTAGAAGTCTGCCCAACTGTTCTGACACCTTGTGCTGGAAAAGCCACCTATGTGTGGACTGCCCTTTTTGTAGTGTGTTTGTTTTGGCCATTTGTCATGGTTAAAGTCTAATTTCATTTTTTATTGTTAATTTCTAATTACACATTAATTTCTAATTTCATTGTTAACTTTTAAGTGTTAGAAAATGTGGACTGTATTTTTCTGCTCTTTAGAAATCTATTAAGATTTTCTTTGTGGACAATTCTTGTGAATATTTTGTATGTGTTTGAAAGGATGCGTATTTGCTACTGAGAGGAAATGCCTGTTGGCGTTTGTTGATTGTGCTACTCAGATCTTCTAAGGTCTTCTATAGATTTTTCAGTTTCTGAGAGAGATGTGTGAAAGTTTCCTGCTATTTGGGGGGAAAGTAACTTATCCGAGTTCTCTTAACCTCTTTTAAAAGTTTAAGTTCTTCTAATATTTTGTTTTCTGTTAGGAACACAAATGGGATTGTGCCTCTCCTCTGTACCCCGGCCTCCTACCTGGAGGAGGAAGCCCTGAGATCTGCATTATCTGCCCCCTGCTTCCCACCAAACCTCATTTCCTGCCCTGCCCCCACGTACTTCCTTAGACTACCTTAGACACAAGAACACACCCCAGCTAGTATTTTCACATTAATTTCATTTGCACAGGTCATATCTGCATACCTTCTCCTTGACACATTACAGGAAAGGCACGTTCCCTTTTCTTGATGCTTCACCCTCGAATTCTAGTTCTCTCCTCCACTGCCCAGAGAGAGTAACCTAATGAGTTTGGTATGTCTCTTTCCAGAACCTCCTTACCTTTTATTTCCTGCTTTTAGTTAAATGTCTGTAGTCACCAAAAATCTAATTTGTTGCTTTGAGTATTTTTAGATGGTATGATTTTTTTGTTATATTGCAACTTGCTTTCTTCACTTTTTTCACTGTCACATAGCACGTCTTGGATATCTACCTATTTTTATTTCAGAAGATCTGAGTGCGTTTCTCTTAACTCCTGCATACTACTCTGTAGTATGACTACCCCTTAGTCTGTGTAGCCGTTCCTTGATGGAAGGACATTTGGGACTTTTCTAGTTGTTCAGGGTCCACGTAATGCTGTGCTGAGACTCCATGCACATACTCTGTTGACCACACTTGTGTTTCTACAGAGTTGGATTTAAGAAACGGGCTTGCTAGTTTGTTTCCTTCTAAGTCCAGCAGTTTTTGTTTGTGGTACTTTGAACATAGGCTGTTAGGTGCTGGCCAGATATTTAAAGTATCTTTCCTAAATAAAAGTATTTTCTTGATAATTGACTGCTTTTGCAATGAAAGGTCTAGGCTCTACAGCCTTCGTGAATCCTGTGCAAAGTTTGTCCTTCCAATGCATCATCCCTCTAGTTTCCTGAATCAAGAAAACATCTAAACAATGCTGTAAGTTCTAGATTAAAAGGGAGAAAAAAGATTTTGCCCCATAATTCCAATTCTAAGAAGGAAATAATCAGAGATATGTACAAGATATATGGGAAAGCCTCTCAATGCAATATGATTTTTAACACTAAAGAAATGAAAAATTGCTTAAAATAAATTGTGATATAATCACATGCTAGAAATCCAGAAACATTAAAAATATGCCAAAGAAGAATATTTAATGGTAGAGGTAGATGTTCATTATCAATATTAAGGGGGGGGAACCAGGTGTACACACCTAGATATGCAGCTTGATTCTAATTTTTATACACATGTATCTTTGTGTGTGTGTGGTGTATAATAATAATGACTGTGACTGCGTTATAATTCACTGTATTTTCAATTTTCACCAAAAAATACTGCTTCTATAATCAGGAAGGAGGCGAAAGGTGTTTTTAAAAGGAAAAACGAAAAGTTTCAAAGACTTTTGGGCTATTTTTTAAAGATATTAAAACTTATTTAATGTGCGAGTATTTCGTTTTTAAGATCAGATGTAGAAAATAGATGGTCCTGGTCCATTTGATCACGACCTCTGAGTGACAGACTCAGGGTTTGTGTTTCATCCAAGAATGTTAATGAACACAGGGCGTTTACAGATCCGGGAGCCCACCCATCTGCTTGGTTCCAGGGAGGAAATAGGTGGAAACAGGTTAAGGTTATTTGAGGTTAAGGAGAGTGCCCAAGGGCACAGAGTCTGTGGGATGGAGGAAATGCTGGAGCTGGATGGGAACTTAAAGGTTCCGGTTCAAAGTTTGCAAACGGTAGCCCTCCAGGACCACCTCTTAAGGCAAAGGAGCATCTGAGTAAGGCTTAACGAAGAGTTCTTCCACTGTGAAGAGTATGAAAACCGCTGCTTCCAACTGAGGGGATGGGAAAACTGGGAGGGTGAGGGAAGTGCTCCTGGTCACATGCCTGGTTCCTGTCTGGACCCCCAGCAGGGTCTTTTACCTTCTTTTGGGTTAGCCCTCATTTGGCACCATTAGTTCCTGGCCATTATTCTAAATGCATCGTGGGTGTTCTGTGTTCACATGCTCTAGGAGATGGGTGTTCCTCTCATCCCCATTGTACAGAGGAGCAATCTAACGCTCAGAGGACGGGAGCTGCCCAAAGGCCCCTACTCTGAACCGCTGCACTACCCACCTCCCTGCGGCAGTCGGCAGTGGGGGAGCTTGCTGGCTTTGCGGGCGACACTGTAGCCCGCCTTACAGAGCCGGGTCCCAGTCTTGTTCCTATGAAGAATCTGGTACAAACACTCACAAAGGAGCTCCCAGGCTCCTTTCACCATGAAGATGGGCCTATCAGAGCAGGGAGGCTGGGGAGAAGTCAGCCAAGGTGACATAAGGGGCTCGAGTGAGGGGAAACCCCAGACCCTGGGCTGCTTGCGTGAAAGTCGCCTGGGGTTTCCTGAAATATTGCCCTCTCCTTTTTCACCTACTCAAATGTGTAGTTGGTGAAAATACCACATAACTTGATTCAGAGACTGAGTTGAAAGGATTGACAGGGTTGGCCTGGTTCGGTTTCCAGTCTCAGGTTTCTGACCAGCTGTGGGTGTTGATGCTAAGGCCCTTGGGTAACAGGCCTGCATCATATCCTCCCACCACCATTGTTACGGTCATGTCCCATCACTTCTTCTGCCTCCAACACTCCCACCCTGTCCTCCACAGTGTGAAGGTGAATACCCAGTCGATGATGTTATTCTCATGTTTGCAATCCTTTCTTAAATCCCCATCATGTTTAAGACAAAGCCTGAACCCCTCGCCCTCAAGGATGAGGCTCCTTCTAACGGTTCCTGGCAACAGCTTCATCCCTTTGCCCCCTCACTCCCCGTCCCAAACCCTTTGTGCTTACTTTCTTGAGCTCCTTTTGCTGCCTGACTTGACTTGAACGTTCTTGCCTCAGTCTTTTGCATAAATTATTTCCTGCAAGAATTGTCCTTTCCCATGTTCTCCTCAAAGGTGCCTTCTGTAGGGAAGCCCTTCCCCACACGGAGTTAGGGATCCTCCCTCTACATTCCTACCGCACCCTGGTCACAACTCTCTGACCATTGGCTACTTTGTATATCTACCTTCCTAATTAGTAAGCTACTCGAGAGCAGGAGCTTGTCCTCTTTGTTTTCTCCCCCGTATCCACAGCAGAATATCTGGCATATAGTAGAGGTAATAGCTTTTGATAAGACAATAAACCAGTAAATGGTACCTTTCTTCCTCATCTGAATATAATTGTATTTTGACCTAGGCAACGACTGCATTCTCCTAACACTCCACCAGAATGAATTTCAACAGTTGTCTGTACAATATTGGGGAACAGCTGGACAGTGACGAGCTGGCCTCCCTCAAGTTCCTGAGCCTGGACCACATCCCACAAAGGAAGCAGGAACCCATCCAGGACGCCCTGATGTTATTCCAGAGGCTCCAGGAGAAGAGACTGCTGGAGGAGAGCAACCTGTCCTTCCTGAAGGAGCTGCTTTTCCGAATTAACAGACTGGATCTACTGACCACCGAGCTGGACACCAGCAAGGAGGAGATGGAGAGAGAGCTGCAGTCACCGGGCAGGGCCCAGATCTCTGCCTACAGGTGGGGAGAGCCTCCGCATTGTGGGCCCGGGAGGGGCGGGCTGCACGGATGCGTCTCTGTGGGCGGGGCTGATGCGGCTCGCGTGTGACTTTGGAGGCTCTGGGAAGATGTCCCACCAGGGCCAGATTGAGAAATTTAGAGACTTTATGTATAATTCAGGAAAAAGAAAAGGTGAGGCATAAAATAAAAATTTTTTTTCAAGGTGAAACGTTACCTATAGGTCTGCTGACATTAAAGTAGACTTTTCTAAATGTTCAGTCTCTCTCTCTGTCGTGTGTTTATGATCTGGGTGCCTCTGCTCTGCTGGTGCCCACATAGTGTGCTCGCTTTGCCTGTTACTGGATAAAGCGTCACTGCTTCCCGCCTGAGGTCCCCCTCCCACCGGCTGTGGATGACCACGGGAATTCCCAGTGGGGTTTAGGCCTTTAGTCTACACGTGAAGACTTCCATCCTAAAGTTCTCCAGTGAGGGGTGTGAGCCGCTGTGGATTGGCCAGGCCCGCCCCCCGTCCCAGCCGGCTTAGCCCCTGTGAGCCTGGCTGCTGCCAGGAGGACAGCAAGGGCTTAGGTCATCGGTGTTGCCAAGGGCCTGGCAGCTCGGCCGCCCCTCCCGTGGGAGAGTGGCTAAGCCAGGGGTGACAAGCCACATTCAGTTACATCTTTGAGATTCGGTGATAAGACTTTAAAAATAGAAACACGTTGCCAAGGTCTCTCTTGCAACATCCCGTTATGAGACACTGCTTAAAATTATTTTTGGCTTTCCTTTCAGAAAACTTGTACTCAGACCTTAGCTGTGGCCCGTTTCACTGTCTCTGCTTGTGTGTCAGTAACTGTGGCACGTGCGACCTTAAGTCCTCACAGCCGGGGCTGAAAGCCGCTGTCCTCTACTATTGCCATCCTTCTCTGCTCAGAGACCTGAGATTCTGGCACGTTCCTTGTCGTCTGTTTCTCTACTTGAGGCATGACCATTCTGATTTTAAATGACAAAGGAGACCTTCTGGGCGTTTGTTTCCTAGGGTTGGCGTAACCAAGTACCACGAACGCGATGGCTCAACACAGTAGAGAAATTTATTCTCTCACAGTTTTGAGGCTAGAAGTCTGAATCAAGGTGTGGGCAGATTCTGCTCTGGAGGCTCCCTGGGACAATCTGTTTCATGCTCCTCCCTTGGCTCCTGGTTTCTGCAGGCAAATCTTGGCATTCCTTGTCCTCTAGGTGTGTCGCCTCGATCCCTGCCTCCATTCTTTTCTCTGTGTCTGTCTGAATCCTTCTTCTTTTAAGGACTCCAGTCACTGGATTAGGGCCCACCCTAATCTGGTATGACCTCATCTTACAAAATTACATCAGTAAAGACAGTTTTTCCATAAGGTCACATTGACACGTTCTGGGCAGACTGAACTGGGGGGAGAGTGGGGGAGGACACCGTTTAATACTGGATAAGTTTGGTTTAATAGAATTGTGAAGTCCTTATGAGGAATTTTTTCCTTAAGGCATCAATTAATCGTAAAAAACAACAACCCTAGAACCAGGAAAGCTGGAGGGTCTCGTCTTGTGCCCACTGTCTTGGTCTTCTGAAAGTGGCACTCCTTCTGCCACATGAGCTAGGCTGACACAAACTGCCAAGGCCAGACAATGGCCTGTGCCTCTCTGTCGGAAGGCCGAGAGTCCCCACGTAGGGCAGGGTCTGTCTGTTAAAATCTTCCAATTTTAGCTTGGAAACGTAAGCATTAGCACAAGTATCATCTACTGCTTGGTCATCAATGTTAAACGTCAGCAGGAAGTTAAAAATGTGCCAGTGCGGCCACTTTCCATTTATAAGAAAATACTAGACAGTTTTATTTTCAAATTATAATTGGCTACCTGTAAAATAAATGTCTTATAAACTATTCAGGGTTTTTAGACAACGATGGTACAAGAAAGCCAGCAGGTTTCAGTAATGAGGAAAGTAAAAGGACAAGCTAACTTGTAATAAAGTTAAAATAAAGTTTTGACTGAACCCAATCTTGGCCAAACTGAGAAGGCTTTAGAGAAATATTTTTAGGGTAGAGATTCCCTGAGAAAGAGCACGAAGTAGATGATAGTACTGAGTAACTTCTATTTCTACACTATTTTTATTTTTGGAATTTTAATTTTCTAATTTAATTTTGAAGTTAACATATTTTTTTATTAAAGTTACTTTACTTTACACCATAATAATGAAAGGTTTTGTTCACTTATAAAACATTCCGTTGTTCATTCAGCAGGCATATGCCAAGAGCCTATAATACATTAGGAAATAATAATAATGCCTATTGTGTATTGAACATTTAGTATGTTGCCAAAGATTGGTTTAAGCACTTCAGATAAACTCATTCACGTAGTCTCAACACCTCCCACTGGTGTAGATAGTTTCAAGTGTAGATGAGCAAAAAATGTATAAGATGTCTAAAGTCACTCAGCTCACAGCTGGTGGGATCAAGGTTCCGACACCCATATTCTGGGTCCCCTGCACTTAAACACTCATCTCACAACCGTCTGGGCTTTTGGAAACAAAAAGGGCATGGACCGTGAACAAAGGCACAGCAGGGTGAATGCAGCCTTGAGGACCCGCAGGCAGTGCCTTAGTGGATGAGTGATGGTCTGTTGATAGACAAGGGAACGGGGTGTAGGGGGCATGGCGTAAAGGGGTGAGGAGCAGGCAGCTGGATGTGCCAGGAACGGACATGAGGGAGGTGGTGAGGAGTGGCCAAGAGGAGGAGGTGGGCTGGGCTCAGGTCACAAAGGTCTGTAGCCCAGAACCGAGTGTTTGGCTCTCCTACTGAAGGCAAGGACTGGGAGAACACTGTTGAGTTTTAGTTAAGGAAGTTATGATGCGATTTGCATTTTGAAAAGGATTATTTCCAAAATTGAAACTTTTTTCTATTGCAACAAAATCTTGATTTTATAGTGAAGGGACAAAGGAAAAACAGGGTTCATTTAATTGAAACTAACAGAACAAGTTCGGCGGAACTCTAAATTCTGTTAAGGGTGGGATGGTTGAGCATGAGTCTAGTCGTCTGTGTCACTGCGCCAGCCTCTTTCCAAGGACTCAACTTCTAAATTATGTCATTAGCTGGCTTTATTTTAAAGGGAGGCCGTTGGAATCAAGCGTGCTGTGACTCTGTGCATCAAATGGGGAATCCCTGAAGAAAGCTTTTCTAAAGTGTCTCCATTTCCACCACAGGGTCATGCTTTTTCAGATTTCAGAAGATGTCAACAAACTGGAATTGAAGTCCTTTAAGTTTCTTTTGAGCCGGGAGCTCCCCAAATGCAGACTGGATGACGACATGGTAAGACCTGGTCTTGCTCAGTGAGAGACTCAGTCCCGGGGATGCGTCAGCGGGTGGCTTCTGGGACGGAAGAGAGGGCTAGTCTGGTGAAAGCAAACTGAATTCTCACTTTTTATTCCAAGAGAGAAGAAGAAAGCTCTCAGGCATGAGGGTCGTAGATACGATTCCTTTGTATACTGTGAAGTGCTGCTCACATTAATTATCAGGAGCAAGGCAGAGTCAGGAGCAGGAGAAGAAGGCTGGTTGTGGGAAGCACAGCCCCATGTGGGACCCTGCAGAGCCAGGAAAGACAGTGGGGGGCCTGAGACATTTTCCTCATTTCTTCAGTCTCTGAAACAACTTGGGTCCTGGAACTCTGTGTGTGTGTGTGTGGTGTCTGTGTGTGTGGTGTGTGTGCAAGCCTGTGTGGGGCATGTGCAGTGCCATGCATGTGTGTGCATGTCTGTGTGTATTTGGTGTGGTGTCATGTATGTGTGTGTGCATGACTGTGTGTGTGTGATATGTGTGTGTGCATGTCTGTGTGTGCGTCTGTGGTGAGGGAACTCAGGTCTGGCAGTGGATCAGGTGTGTAGGCAATGCTAGGTGTGAAGCAGTCCCCAAGGCTGTCACCATGGGGCCCAGGCTGCTGGGTCTCAGCCATGCACTCGGCTGTTCAGTCCTCACAGAGAGGCGTCCACAGGGGTTTCAGCACACGAGCTGGGGCCTGGGTGCCGTCTGATGTGGCTTCTCCTCTATCTTCCATTTCTGTCTTTCTGGGCCAGAAAACACAGAACTGCTTCCCTAGTAGTCACTTGTCTTTATAGGGCCAGAATGTCCTCTCACGAGGGTTGGCTTCAGAAGCTAGGGTGGGCCCTTGGCTTGGAGAAAGTAGAAGTAAAAAAAAAAAATCTAATGTAAAAGCCAATGTGGCTCAATGCAGTCTTGCAACTTTATTTCTCCTCCCTCTAGATCCTGCTTGATATTTTCATAGAGATGGAGAAGAGGGTCATGCTAGGGGAAAGAAACTTGGACACCCTGAAAAAAATCTGTGAGCAAGTCAACAAGAGCCTGCTAAAGAAAATCAACGATTATGAAGAATTAAGCAGAGGTAGAAATAAAGTGACAGCTGTGAATCAGCAAAAGGTGTTCTTCAGCTGACAAATTCCTCTCTGTCAGAGTTGTTTCTAATCAAATATGCACGTGTTTCTTTTTTTAATTCAGAGGGAAGAATCAGCCTTGAAAGAAGTCCGGATGAATTTTCAAATGGTAATACTTAGAGATATGTTTTCCAGACTTATTTAGTTAACTTACAACGAGGCTATCAGGCCTCGTTGCCTCCTGGCCACAACCTTCTATCACAGCCACATCTGAAAGGACCTGCTCTCCTAACATCAGGACGAAGGCTCAGTGCCTACTTGATGTCACCTTCTCTACACATTGAAAGATGTAAAGAGAACTGTCAAAAGACACAGACCCTGCAGCCCCAGGCTAGCAAGTTTGAAATGCCTGCAGAGTTAGTTGTAATAAGATTGTTACTTATTCTGTGCACTGCAAGGATATTGTGTTCAAGGCAGTCTGTGAATTTTCTTTTTTTTTTCCTGCTTTTTCTCCCCAAATCCCCCCTGTACATAGCTGTATATTTTAGTTGTGGGTCCTTCTAGTTGTGGCATATGGGATGCCACCTCAGTGTGGCCTGATGAGCGCTGCCATGTCCGCGCCCAAGATCCAAACTGGTGAAACCCTGGGCCGCCAAAGCGGAGTGCGTGAACTTAACCACTCGGCCACGGGGCCGGCCCCCATGAATTTTCATTTTAAAAGGGACCTTATGTTGTCTTCGTGCTACATGTTTCTTTAGCAGATTACCTTCTGCACAAGTCTCACGCCCCTGTGTCTCGATTGCTCGCAGGGGAGGGCTCGCTCGCAGGGCAGGCAATGTCCGACTCTCCAGGACAGCAGAACAGCGAGTCCCAGGTATGTGGAAACCTCCCGTTCCTTTTTCTCTGCGCATTGCAGCTTCTAGTTACCACATTCCTTAGCTTTTTTTTAGCTTCCAGAGAAAGTTACTGAATAAGGGGCAGAGACTTACTGAAAAATTTGAGAACTGTAGAAAAAATTCACAAAGGACAACTTTAAAATGTGTTTTTTAATTTTAAAAATGTGATCTCTTCGGTTTCTTACGTGTTAAAATTTTATTTAGAAACCAGAGACAGAGGCATTGGAATAGTTGGAGGGGCCACCCGGTACCATGTTTCCAGCAGCTGCAGCAGCGAACTGGGAGAGGGCTGTGGGGGAAGAGGCCAGCAGGATGGGAAAAAGCAAAGCCTTTTCTTCCACCTTGACATTTCAAAGCTGTTTCTCCCTTGTGATTAGGGACAAGCAGCAAACGCTCACCATCTAGCTGCCTCTGTGCTCCCTCTCAGTGAGCTGGCACGAGAATGGGCTTTCTAGATGCAGTCACTTCTCTTTAGTAACACTCAACACTTCACCACTGACTCACTAGCCCGTTTGCTTCTCCCGGGGCGGAAGCGCAGGAACACCACGGTCCCGTGGGGGAGTTGAAATTCAGCTTGAGAGACCATTTACTGGTGGGCTCCTGAGTGAGCGCCCAGGCCTTGCTCAGCCTGAAGAGCAAGGCTTAACTGCAGTCACTGGCACTCGGTGGACAGTAAGGCACTCCACAAGTGTCGTCCCGCCGACAGCCAGCAGGCTGAGGGCAAGAGCCATCAGGTCACTGGCCCTAAGTCTTAAGATTATCAAGTAGTAGAGCCAAGAATTCGGCCCCCTAGCTTGGAGCCTTTTCTCCACCTCAAGGAGCTGCACGGGTTTCCCAATAAAGGCTGAATATGTCAGCACTGAAACAGCCCTGGGAACATCAGAAGGACACAGGGCCACCTCTGACTGTCCCATCAGGTCTTAGAGTGTGGACAGTGTAACCTGCAGCAGAGCCAGACCTGCCTGACCGTGGCATCGTGCTCCTCGAGTTGCTGTGGTCCTGAAAGCCGGATTAAGCCATCAGCTTTAAAGATCCTGGGGCCACACTCTGTTGTGTGTGAGGAGCTGGCTCTCAGCTGTTAGGCCAGAAGCATGGATGAGTTGAGTAAACAGCCAAGGGAATCCCAAGGTCACCAGGGACAGCCCAAAGGCAGCACCAAGACCTGTCATCCATTCAGCAACTGCAGAGCGAGCTTCACACATGAGTAGATCCTACCCCTGGTACTGAGGGTTTCTGCCTTGAGCAGAAAGGAGAACAAACAATGATGATACAACAATATTAATATCAGTGCAAAAGTGCCCAAGCATTGGGGCACTGACTGCACACACTAAGTTGGGGCAGACCCTGGGGAGCCTGTGCGAGAGCGGAAGAGGCGGAAACCAGCTCGTTTGGGAAAAGATGTCACGTTGGTGGTTAGTGCGCGTGCGTCCCATCTTGGCTGGGGGGCGGGGCAGCCTGACCTCTCACTGGGGAGCTGTTTGTTCACGTCTCAAGTGTTTGACCCACAGACTCAGCGCCTGGGTTGGATTTTTGTTTTTCAGACGTCAGACAAAGTTTACCGAATGGAAAGCAAACCTCGAGGATACTGTTTGATCTTTAACAATCATGATTTTAGCGCCGCACGGCGGGACGTGCCCAAACTTCAGAACATTAAGGATAGGAATGGAACGGATTTGGATGCAGGTACAGTAGAACCCAAAGAGAGGTGAAATATTTCTAATGCCTACGTTTTTATCAAAAGGGGAGAAGGAAAGCTGTACGAACAGGGCCACATGTTTCCAAAAAAATGGCTATAACCATATTTCCCTGTGGAGGTGAAGAACATTCTTATATATTTGCTAGTTTGCTGCTTTTGTTTTTTTTAAATTAATTTTTAAATCACAGCAATGTATGTATACAGATAAAATATCAAATTTTACCAAAAATCTTATAATGAAAAGCAGCAATCGCTTTACTTTTAATTCCACTAAACGAGCAGTGTTTCTGGAGAATGCATTGGATATTAGGCGGAAACATTGCCTTGGTATCAAAACCACTTGTAGAAGTTGCATTTATAAAAGTCGGGCTATGAGGGCAGCAGAAATTGTGAGTCCTTAACAGAAATAGCATTTTCAAATGTTAATCTAGCCAGAAATCCTTTTGCTCAGCCTATTTTGGCTAAAATTGAGAACTTACAAGTTAAATGAAAGAATAATTTGCAGCATGTGAACATAGAAATGGCTACAATAAAAAGCAATAATAGAAATAATTCAACCCAACCATTGTGATACTAAGAATTTTTATTTGATTAAAGAATTTTTGAAAATAGTAATTGAGTTATAATATCAGGCAATGGTATTTTTTCAATTGAGTAAAATTTAGAAAATTAAAGTAGGCTGATTTTAATCATCAGGACTATGCTAATGGTCTCTGTTAATTTTGTTTAGTCAAGTAAATCCATTCTAAGATTTTAAAAAACCACACAACTTAAGTCCATTGACTACATCATTCATCAACATACATCTTGGTATTGAAGAAAAGGTTTCAGACCTTTGATTTCCATTCACTTACTATTAAAACTTTTAATTAAAATAATATTTGATTGTATTTCTGGCCTTTTGGTCAAAGGATACCAACAGTTGCAGTTATGTAGGATGCATAAGTCTAGAGGTCTAATGTACAGCATGGTGACTATAGTTAATAACACTGTATTGAATACTGGAAATACGCTAAGAGTAGATTTCAGGTGGTCTTGTCACATACACACACACACACAAGGTAACTATGTCAGGAGATACCTTATTAGCTTGATTGCAGTAATCATTTCACTACATATATCATCATGTTGTACACCTTAAATGTATATAATTTTCATTTTTAAGAAAGAGGATCAGACAGGCAGTCTGAAAATGCTGAAAGACTGACTAAGTCTATTAGAGCATTTTGGGGAGAAATAATGTTAAGCATATAGAAAACAAAGCAATGAAAAATAATGCAATTGCTAATTCCAGGAAAGACAAAAAATTTAGTAAGAAAGGAAGCACAATTGAAGAATGTTGTGTTTACATAGTTCTGCTAATACAAATATTACTGTTGATTCAACTTAAAGTTGTAAATAATTGTGTAAGAGCACCAAATGCTCATCCTTCATAATGGGAACTCAATACAATAGTCTAAAATTTATAAATGTGTAAATAGCAATGTACTCAAATTTATTACAAAATGGAGGCTAATACCAAAAAAAGTAGTTAAAAGTTGGAAATGGTTGCCTTCATGGAACACGACTGGGTGAGAGAAGGGCAGAGACAGGATAGCTTTTTTATAACAGGCCTTTTAGTTCTACTTGACTTTTTAAACATTTATACCTTGTATTATGATAAGCCCTTTTGAGAATGTTCAGGATAAAGTAAATATAGATCTTTTATTAAGAAAATTATTTTACCTTTTTTTCTAATTATGTAAGTAATACAATCATTTTTTAGGTTGGTTCCACAGTAAGCCTAAATTACAGCTTACCCATCTTGTAGACTAGTTGAGAAAAGACAACAGGCCAACAACAGCTCTGTCCCCTTTCTCATTTGCCTCAGGACTAGGAAATGTTTTCAGCTGGTGGTAGTAAATATTAGAAGCCTGTGGAATCTAGCTACTAATATAGAGGGTTTTGTTCTGAAGTTTCAGTTCAAATTCTTATCTGATCAATGTTCTCTCTAGCTCTGGGCTGTGGTCTGGGAATTATTGTGGTGTAATATGACTTTGCTTATTTCACTTTTCAGAGGCTTTGAGCATGACCTTTACTGAGCTTCATTTTGAGGTAGTGCCTTACAAAAACTCCACAGCAAAGGATATCTGTGATGCTCTGCGAGAGTACCAAGAGATGGACCACAAAAAGAAGGACTGCTTCATCTGCTGCATCCTCTCCCATGGAGACAAGGGCATCATCTACGGCTGCGATGGGCAGGAAGCCTCCATCTATGAGCTGACCTCTTACTTCACTGGTTCTAACTGCCCTTCCCTCGCAGGCAAACCCAAAATCTTTTTTATTCAGGCTTGTCAAGGGGATAATTACCAGAAAGGTATAGCTGTTGAGACTGACTCGGAACTGACGGATGCCTATTTAGAAATGGACTCATCATTTCAGAAGAGATGCATCCCAGATGAGGCTGACTTTCTGCTGGGGATGGCCACTGTGAACAACTGTGTTTCCTACCGAAACCCCTTGGAAGGGACCTGGTATATCCAGTCACTTTGTCAGAGCCTCAGAGAAAGATGTCCTAGGTAATTTTTGCCTCCTCAGTGTTGAGTTGAGTTGAGCTGAGTTGAGTAGGCAAAAGAACTTCATTCATCTCTAGATGTCTAGCTGTGGATCGCAAAGCTGTACTTCCTAGGTCAGTTGCAAAGTGGGAGAGAGGGCAAGTGTTAACGTCTTTAGTTAACAGGTGGAAAAAATGGAGATACCTACTAAGGAGTATTCTTTATTTAGCCCTCAAAGGATGATCAGAGCATCATAGAGCTGGGAAGGATGGTAAAGGCATATAGTCCAGATTTGTCTCTAGGCAGAAACATAACTGAGACAACTCAATTAGTTTTGGAAGTCTTCCAAGAAGGCAGTAGCCCATTTCAATGTTTAAAATCCGCCAACTGTGTCAAAAGTTCTATAGTAACTATCCAACCTCAAACCTTCTTGGTGTATCAAGGGAGATAAGTACCAAAAAGTAAAAACGCTTTATGTTCCCACTAATTTGGCCTGATTTGAAGCCGCAAAATGTGGGAAAATATCCTTCCCTCATTTGTAACATCCTGTGCTTTCTTTAGTTAAATGATGATTTTGTATGTCACAGTTCACCCAAATGCACACACAGGTGACAGATGAATACCAGGGAATCGTCTGCAGGTTCTTTCTAGTTCTATATCTCATTATGTTTTAAGTGTATGAAAGTCAAGAATGTCCCATAGCAGATAAAGGAGTGAACCATAACATCAACACTATGTTTTCATTTTGTAACTCAGACCATGAACCCTGCAAGGTTCTCTGGGCTAGCTACAGAAGTGGACAAACAGGCTGCCCAGCTAACCTGAGAAGAGAGGCTGGTGAGAAAGAGAAGAGGTGGTTTCAGGGAACATTCGATTTTCACTTGCCTGAAGTTTGGTTGTATCATAGGTGAATCCACAGAAGCAATGTCAATGCTTGGGTGGATGTTGGGGGGTATTGAGGCGATTATGGGGGGCAAGTGACATAGGACGTGGAGCAGAGTGAGGTACAAACAGGTCAGGAGGGAAAGAAACCAAACCTGATGTTGACACTGAAGATTCTGATGGTTAGTAGAGATCCTGAGTAAACGGAAGATAAGCTGTTAAGTTCTGAGACAACTCATTTCCTTTGCTCGGAAAGCTGTGGTAGGTCTTGGTTTAGCAACTTATTATTTCAAATGCCTGATGTTTTGAGGGAAATAACTATCACTGAGCACAGCAGATGGAAGGGCTGACCAGTTGTTCTGTCCCCACATATGTCACCATGTTATGTTCTACTTTTCAGGGGCGAAGACATTCTGACCATCCTAACCAATGTGAACTTTGAAGTGAGCAGTAAGGACGACAAGAAAAATATGGGGAAACAGATGCCTCAACCTACTTTCACGCTGAGAAAAAGACTCGTCTTCCCTCTGAATTGATGCCATTGTTTATTTGCGTAACACTATGCTTAATTTATTGTTACTAAGATGCTGCTATTTTGCCTTTTTTTTTTTGGATGGCCGGAAAGGGAGAGAATGGGAGTCAGGACAATCTAATTTTTATGCAAATTCAAGCCTAACTCTCTGGCCCTGCAATAACAGCTGGACATTTCTAGCCATGGGCACGACTTTAATTATATTTTTAACTCAATGAAAAAGTTTTAAAAAACTTATGGTAGATTTTTAAAGTCTAGTTAAGTTTAAAAGAAATATAATATCATAAAGAGTCAAAAACAGTGACAGAATGTTTTCCACATATCTCTCATCTGCTTTCAACTTAGAATCATTTAATTCCCTTCAAATTGTTAAACTTTAAAAACAAAGTTAAGGGTTCCATTCTGCAGCTTTGACCTTGAACACAGAGTTAATGCTAGACCAGAGACTTGACGAGGCACATGAAGAAGGGGAGGTGGTGAAAGGCCTCGGATCAGCGAACGTTGTTAAATGTCAGGAGACAGTAAGTGTCAAGAAACCCATACTCACCCTCCCCTCCTTCCTGGTTCCTATGAGAATTTGCCAGACTCACATTCCTGCTCCCTGCGTATGAGGTTCAGGGTGTGACGCTCCCACATCCAGCCTGGTGACAGCTGGCGAGAGTGACAAGTGATCTCAGAAGGACAGACACGAGCCTCCTCTCCTGAGCTGGGAGAAGACGCTGCTCTCCAGTGGGAAAGACACCAAGACTGTTTACACTGAGATTTCATGAAACCTGGCATGATTTCCCTTGTTTTTGTTATTCATAAGTACACCATTAAGTTCACTTTTGAAAGGGCTGATGTTAATCTGATATTCACTTCTTTGTACTTCCGGTCCTTCCCTTTCCAAGCCATCCTCCACACTACTTTACAACTTTCTCTAAAATATTTCTTTTTTTTTTTAAAGATTGGCACCTGAGCTAACAACTATTGCCAATCTTCTTTTTTTTTTTTTTTTTCCTGCTTTGTCTTCCCAACCCCCTGTACATAGTTGTATATCTTAGTTGCAGGTCCTTCTAGTTGTGGGATGTGGGATGCCGCCTCGACGTGGCCTGACGAGCTGTGCCATGTCCGTGCCCAGGATCCAAACCCTGGGCCGCTGCAGCAGAGCACGAACTTAACCACTTGGCCACGGAGCCAGCCCCTAAAATATTTCTTATGTTAAAATCTTTTAAAAATTAAAAATATTTTACAAATTCTTTATGTTGTTTCTAAATTCCCCTCTCAGCCTTTTCTCTTATTGCTCTGATGGTTTATCCATGCTTCTGTTTCAGCCAGTGTAACTGGCTTTTTTACTAATGATGCTGTGCTCTTCTGCATTTGCTCTTTTTTATATATATCATTTCATTCCAAATATTTAGGAATTACATTACTTTTAAGAAGTAAGTTTTTTTAAGAAGATTTTTTCAAAAATATTTTTAATAGAATAAAATATAATTTTACCTTACTATTCCTTGGAGATTGGATTGTTTGTTTGTTTCGTTTTTGTTTTTTTGTCAATGGCATCTCGCAGGTAGAAAACATTTGTATCAAGTGAAAACATTTTACTTGAGCCTCCCAGTATTGTCTCACATAGTTGTATTTTAAAAAAATTCATTGTGCATATTTAAAAATTGGGAGATGTCACATAAAAACCAGAATACTTTCTTTTGAAAAATCAGGTGATCTGACCACATTGACCCCATGCTCCTGTATAGCAAGAACGGAATGGGCTCACCCAGTCCCATCCTGCTATCCCCCCACTGCCCTGTCTCCTCCTTTGAGGCTGCTGCCAACTACCCTTTATCCCTGGGCTTGTGATCTGTTTTTCCTTATGTCCAGCCCACTTCACTTACTCACGTTGCCTGCCCTGTGGGCGTTTGAATTCTGGAGATGGTTTAGAGAAGTGGCAGAATCACCAGAAACTCTTTCCAAATCGCAGGTTAGGGAGGTGGGGGAGTGGGGCACATGAAAGAGAGACAGGTCTTTGGAATCATATCAATAAGTTATCCTTCCAGCTAGCTAAAAGCGCCAGGGGGACAAAAGGTACACCACAAAATGTAGTCAACATTTAATAGGAAGAAGTTCTTCAGCTCAGTGTCTTCACAATAAAACATGTAAAAGGGAAAGAGAAAATAGTACAAAGCCCAGAGAAAGCTCAGCTCCAGCTATTAAGAACATCACTCTTCAACGAAGAGTCATGAAAATCTATGTAATTGAGATAAGCATTCATACATTCCAGACCACTCAGAGGGAAGCAAATTGTGAAAAGACAAATACAATCAAAGCAACCCAAGAACTAAACTCACCATATGCATTTCTCAAAGAAACCTCACAGCAGTTCTCTAGGCCCACAGAGAAGGGGTTCCTACCATCCTTGGCAACAGAGAACAACTTCTCTGCTCATGATTCTTGTCTTTTTTTGCTACCATCTTCTAAAGTGTCAGAATCTTCCTCATAAACAGTAAGGGAAGGTGATCTCCCATATCGTTGATAAATTTCTTCATTCTTGGCGATTATCTTTTGCCTATAAAGAAAGAGAAGATGTATCACTGTAGACTCGAAGGGTAGGAAGGGGTGGGAGGTACCTGGGGGAGAGAAACACGACTTCATTCCCTCACGGGAGACAGGGTCACTCATTCCTTGCAATGGTTGTGAATTTACTGAGATATGATATTTGGGTGCCCAAATTCCCATATGAGGAATTTTCTCCTAAATTAACACAATGAATAACTGCCCTTTATTAAAGTGTTGACCAGAATTTATTTCAATTGACATGCAACTTCAGGTAACAGAATAATTTCTGACCTGAAGCTGATTTCCACAGGCACCAGATGCAGCTGCATCCAAGGGCCAACCGTGGACACATGACCGTCTACACTCTCAGGGGAGATGGGCCAAAAAATAATCCTCAGTCACAGAACTGAATAAACTCAGAGACTCTCAGATAAATCTCCTGTGTCGTTTTGCAAAAAACTAAGACATAGTTAAGGGAGAGGAGTCTAGACACAGCCCAGCACCACTTCAAATGAACGGTCGGACCTCAGCAGGTAACTTCTGTGGCCAAGCTCAGAGGGAGCATCTCTGTCCCGAAAATGCCTGTGTCTTGACTTCATCAGGGAATCCCTGGGTTCTTCGCCGATTCCCCATGGAAATCCCTCCCATTTTTAAAGATAATGCAGCCATGTCTCTTTGAAAAGCATCCTTTCACCTTAGATGAATGTTTTCTTCGGTCAGGAGTTGTATGGTATATTTAAACTTCTCTTCAGCTTCAGCAAGCTTGGCCTGGAGTTTTTTCTCTAGATTTCCCACCACAGCTTTCTGAAAGACATAAATTGCAATAGCTGTCTTTCCCAAACCAGAGTCTCCCAGAGCAGAGCTGCACGGCAGGGCTGCACCGACCCGGGTTTCTCCCTCAGAGTCCCACCCCGACCCCAGCCAGGACTCACCTCTTTCTGGAGTTCCATCTGGGTTTGGTAGAGGGTTGTGTTAAGTGATTCTAGGATAAGAGCTTGTGTGTGCAACTCTTCCTCTATGACCTATGTAAGAAGAAATTGCTTCAGGACATCATGACAGTGTTTACCCATTTATTCTCTTCTCTGGGGCACTGGGACAAGAATGTGAAGCATTAACTTTAGCTACTCATTCCTGCACCATTCGGTCGCTCTGCCCTGTTAATTCTACCCTCTCTATGTCTTGCCCATCTACAGCCTCCTCTGTCACTCCTCCAGAGCCAGCCCTCAGCAGAGCTCACATTGGTTGCCACAGCAGTTACCAATCATTTATTCATTAAACAAATATTTGTTAAATATCTATTACAGATTCCAACTATATGACATTCCAGAAAAGGCAAAACCATAGAGACAATAAAAAGATCAATGGTTGCCAAGGGCTGCGAAAGGAAGCAAAGGATGAATAGGTGGAGGGCAGAGGATTTTTAGGGCAGAGAAACTATTCTATACGATACTGCAGTGGTGGATAAATGGCATGATGCATTTGACAAAGCCTATAGAATGTACAACACAAAGAGCAAACTAATGTAATTTATGGGCTTCAGTTAAAAATGATGCATCAATATTGGTTCATCAACTGTAACAAATGTACCACACAAATGCAAGATGTTAATAATGGAGGAAATTGCGTGGGTGACAGGGGAGTATATGGGAAATCTCTGTACTTTTGTGCTTAATTTTTCAGTAAAACTAACACTGCTTTAAAAAATAGTCTGTTAATTAGGAAAAAACCTACTACTGTATTAAGCACCAGGAATATTACGATGAACAATGCAGATATAATTCCTGCTCTTATGGGGATACATTCTAGTGAGAGAAATGTAAATAAAATAAATAAAAGTAAATAAAATAATTAGAATAATAAATTGAAAACAAACCGAGGATGCCATATAAGAGCAGGGAAGGGATAAGTGTGGGATCTACTTCAGATAGATGCTGAAGAGACTACGACAACGGACCAGATGGGTCTCCACTTTCAGGTGTCAGCCCCATTGAATTCCTACATGTCCTTGGAGCTCTTCTCATGTAAAAAGCATCTTCCCAAGATGTACAAACCGGAGAGGTACCATGACTTACTGCAACTGCATTGTGCAAAGCATTGTACTGGATCATTTTGCATTCTTTCATTTATTTATTCATTCAAAAAATCAATTGCTATTTACTGGATGTCTGTGATGTGCCAGGCACTGTTCTAGAAGTTTGGGATTAGTAGTAAAGAAAATAGACAAAAACCCCTGCTTTCACTGAGTTTATCAGGTTAGATGATTATAAGTCTGTGTAGAAAAATAAAATAGGGAAAGGAAGTGCGGGCAGATTGTTGAGCCTTTAAATAGAGTAGCTCCTGAGAAGGCAGCAATTGAGCAAACACCAGAAAGAGGTAAGGAAGTTAGCCATGTGAGTATATGGAAAAGAGATTTCCAGGAACAGAGAATATAAAGTGCAAAGAGCCCAAAGTGGGAGCATCCTGGCCTGTTAAAGAAACAGCAAGAAGCCCAGTGCCACTGGAGTGGTGTGATGGAGGAGAAGAAATAGAGGGAGATGAGGTAGGGGGAAAGAACCACCAGCATGAAGCAGGTGGAACAATCTCTGGGGACAACACAGGGCTGGGAATAGATCATATTCCCATCAGTCAGTGTAGAAAAACTCTTCTAATACACAGAGTATTGGGTACACTACTCAGAAGGATGTTATCTCAGTAGTGGGGAAAAATTAGCCCTAAAGACTGCTTTAATTCTGCCTAATAAAGCTTAAAAACAAAGTTTGAAAAGATCAAACTATTTCCAAGTAACTTAACTGAATCCCAGAACAAAGCTCAATGACACTTAAAGGAATACAAAAATATTCAATGCCCAAAAAGGTAAACTTCACCCTGGCTGGCATCCAATCAAAAAATTATCAGGCATGCAAACAAACAAGAAAATATGACCATAAACCAGGAGCAAAATCAATTAATAGAAAGAGGCCCAGATGCATCTCCGTGAGAGGTGAGACCTCTCCAGGGACTGAGACATTGGTGGCAGCCATTATGTGATCTAGTACAGGCATACTGACACAGATGCAGGCAGAGCCACTGGAGTTCTTCCCCTGGCCTGTTAGCCCAGGGGTCTACCACACCCACTAGAGCACCAATTTAATCTAGTTCAGCCAGGGCAGGCAGCCCACTCAAGTGACTGGCCCCACCCAACAGCAAGCTCTCAGGCAACTTGTGGGCGAGCATAGGCAGGGTGCCCGGATCCTCTGCAGCCAGGCGAGGGGGTCCACCTCTGTGGGACAGGGCATGCACAAGGAGCAGGTCAAGCATCTAGGGTGTTGGTAGAGCATATGAGGCCTTTGCAGTGGGGTGACTGGGTCTACTTCAGGGGTTGGGGCATGCGCACAGGGCAGGACTGTGTTGACAATGTGTGTGGTCCTGTGGGCAGTGGGGCTCATTAGCTGCAGAAGACTTATGCGTCTCAAATAGCCATACATGGGATTGGCCCCACCTCCCAAAGCCTGAAACAATTGGGTGTTCCCATGCCTGGGGCCAGTCCCACTCTCCTGCAATCCTGAGAGAGCTGACAACAGCCTTGCAGGTTGGTGGCCTATAGCAATTGTAAGCCCCTGAGCCTAGCAACCAGCCATGCTGGGGGCCGACTCACTTAACAGAAAAACTGCAACAGGAATGTGCTATTAGACCTTGCAGCCAACTGTGCTGGGGCTCCTCATGCCTGATAAAGTGACTGAAGGGACCATAGCAGCCACATGCATCTGAGCATTACAACCTGCTGGCCAGAGGGACAGCCTAGTCTCCCTGGGCACCTACAGCAAGAGCAACCCTGTCAAAACAGAAGGATACACGTAGCCCACACAGGGGTCACTCCTGGAACATTTGGAACTGGTGACGAGAGGAAAGCACACTGCTGGGTCTCATAAGACATCTCTTACATTAAGGCCACTCCAAGACCATAAAGTCTCTCCAAGATCAGGAGACTTAGCTGACCTACCTACTATGTAGATATAAGTATAGAGAAAGAAGCAAAATAAGGAGGCAAAGGAATACATTTCAAGTAGGGAACAGGACAAAACCCCAGAAAAAGAGCTAAATGAAACAGATATAAACAATCTACCTGACAAAGAGTTCAAACAAAAAGTCATAAGGATGCTCACTGGTCTTGAGAGAATGGATGAACTCAGTGAGAATGTCAACAAAGAATTGGCAAATATAAAGAACCAATCAGAAATGAAGACTACAATACTGGAAATGAGAAATTCACAAAAGGCATTCAATATCAGAGAAGATGATATAGAAAAATGGATCAGTGAGCTGGATGAAAGGCTAGAGGAAATCACCCAAGCTGAACAGATAAAAAATAAAAAGAACAACAACAGTCTAAGGGACCTCTGGGACAACATCAAGCACACTAACATTCATATTATAGGTGTCTCAGAAGGAGAAGAGAGAGACAAAGGGGCAGATAATCTATTTGAGGAAATAATAGCTGAAAACTTTCCTAACCTAAGGAGGAAAACACACATCCAGGTACAGGATGCACAGAGAACACCAAACAAGATAAACTCAAAGAAGCCCACACCAAGACACATTATAATTAAAATGTCAAGAATTAAAAATAAAGAGAGAATCCTAAAAGCTGCAAGAGAAAGGCAACAAGTTACACACAAAGGAAAGCCCATAAGGCTCTCAGCTGACTTCTCAGCAGAAGCCTTACAGGCTAGAAGGGAATGACATAATATATTTAAAGTGCTGACAGGAAAAAACCTACTGCCAAGAATATTCTACCCAGCAAGGTTATCATTCAAAATGGAAGGAGAGAGAAAGAGTTTCCCAGATAAGCAAAAATTAAAGGAGTTTATCACCAAGAAACCAGTCTTACAAGAAATGCTAAAGGGACTTATTTAAGTAGGAAAGAGAAGATCACAAATAGGATTAAGAAAAATTATATATATAAAAAAAGCAATAAAATCAATGGTAAAGGCAAAAATACAGTAAAGGTAGCAGATCAATCACCTATGAAGATAATATGAAGTTCAAAAGACAAAAGTACTAAAATTACCTATTTCCATGATAAGAGGGTAACGAATACACACACACAAAGAAAGATATTAGATACGATATCAAAAACATAAAATGTGGGAGGTGGGGTGTAAAGGAGTAGAGCTTTTAGAAAGAGGTCAAACTAAAGAGACCACCAAATCAATATAGATTTCTATATACTTAGGTTATTAAAAATGACCCTCACAGTAATCACAAGCCAGAAACCTATAATAAGTACACAAAAAATTAAGAGAAAGCAACTCAAACATAATACTAAAGAAAGCCATCAAACCACAAGGAAAGAGAGCACGAGAAGAAAAAAGGAACAGAGAAGAGCTACTAAAACACCCAGAAAAAAGTAACAAAATGGCAATAAGTACATACTTATCAATAGCTACTTTAAATGTCAATGGACTAAATGCTCCAATCAAAAGGCATAGGGTGGCTGGTTGGATAAAAAAATAAGACCCATATATTTGCTGCATACAAGAGAAACACTTCAGACCTAAAGACACTCACAAACTGAAAGCGAAGGGATGAAAAAAGATACTTCATGCAAATGGCAATGAAAAGAAAGCTGAGGTAGCAATACTTTTATTAGACAAAATAGACTTTAAAACAAAAACTGTAACAGGAGAAAAGAAGGGCACTACAAAATGATAAAGGGAACAATCCAACAAGAGGATATTACACTTGTAAATATCTAGGCACCCAACATAGGATCACCTAAATATATAAAGAAATTATTAACAGGCATAAAAGGAGCAATAGTTAGTAACACAATAATAGGAATTTTAACTCTCCACTTACACCAACGGATAGATCATCCAAACAGAAGATCAGTAAGAAAAACCTTGCCCTTAAACAACACATTTGACCAGATGGACTTAGTAGATATATACAGAACATTCCATCCCAAAACCACAGAATACATATTCTTTTCAAATGCACATGGAACATTCTCCAGGATTGATCAATATTAGGTAACAAAACAAGTCTCAATAAATTTAAGAAGACTGAAATAATACCAAGCATCTTTTCTGACCACAACTGTATGAAACTAGAAATCAACTATAGGAAGAAAATCAGAAAAGACACAAATATGTGGAGATTAAACAAAATGCTACTGAGAAACAATTGGGTCAATGAAGAAATCAAAGGAAAAATAAAAAAATACCTGGAGACAATGAAAATGAAAATACGACATGCCAAAATTTATGGGATACAGCAAAAGCAGTTCTAAGAGGGAAGTTTAAAGCAACACAGGCCTACCTCAACAAACAAGAAAAATCTCATAAACAATCTAACAGTGCACCTAAAGGAGCTGGAAAAAGAAGAACAAACAAAGCCCAAAATCAGTACATGGAAGGAAATAATAAAAATCAGAGCAGAAATAAATGAAATAGGGATTCAAAAAACAATAGAAAAAATCAATGAAACCAAGAGCTAGTTCTTTGAAAAGATAAACAAAATTGACAAACTTTTAGCCAGACTCACCAAGAAAAAAAGAGAGAAGCCTCAAATAAATAAAATCAGAAATGAAAGAGGAGAAATTACAACAGACACCTCAGAATTACAAAAGATTATAAGAGAATACTATCAAAAGCTATACACCAACAAACTGGATAATCTAGAAGAAATGGATAAATTCCTAGAATCATACAACCTTCCAAAACTGAATCAAGAAGAAATAGAAATTTGAATAGACCAGTAAGGAGATTGAAATAGTAACCAAAAACCTCCCCAAAAATAAAAGTCCAGGGCCAGATGGCTTCTCTAGTGAATTCTACCAAACATTCCAAGAAAACTTAATACCTGTCCTTCTCAAACTGTTCCAAAAAATTGAAGAGGAGGGGAAACTTCCTAACTCATTCTATGAGGCCAATATTACCCTGATACCAAAACCAGACAAGGACAAGAAAAAAAAGAAAATTACAGGCCAATATCACTGATGAACATCGATGCAAAAATCCTCCACAAAACACTAGCAAATCCAATACAACACATTAAAGAGATCATACACCATGATCAAGTGGGATTTATTCCAGGGGGACGGGATGTTTCAACATCCGCAAATCATTCAACATGATACACCACATCAACAAAATGAGGACTAAAATTCACATGATCTTCTCAACAGATACAGAGGAAGCATTTGACAAGATACAGCATCCATTTATGCTAAAACACTCTGAATAAAATGGGTATAGAAGGAAAGTACTTCAACATAATAAAGGTCATATATGACAAATCCACAGCTAATACCATCCTCAATGGAGAAAAATTGAGAACTACCCCTATAAGAACAGGAACCAGGCAGGAAGCCCACTTTGACCACGTTTATTTAACATAGTGTTGGAAGTCCTAGCCAGAGCAATTAGGCAAGAAAAGGAAATAAAAGGGATCCAAAATGGAAAGGAAGAAGTGAAACTGTCACTATTTGCAGATGACATGATTTTACATAGAGAAAACTCTAAAGGATCCAGTAAAAAACTTTTAGAAATAATAAATGAATAAGGTAAAGTTGCAGGATACAAAACCAAGATACAAAAATCAGTTGCATTTTTATGCACTAACAACGAAGTAGCAAAAAGAGAAATTAAGAATACAATCTCATTTAAAATTGCAACAAAAAGAATAAAATATGTAGGAATAGACTTAACCAAGGAGATGAAAGATCTGTAGACTGAAAACCATAAAACATTGTTGAAAGCAAGTGAAGAAGACACAAAGAAATGGAAAGATATTCTGTGCTCTTGGATTGGAAGAATTAACATAGTTAAAAAGTCCATACTTCCTAAAGCAATCTACAGATTCAATGCAATCCCTATCAAAGTTCCAATAACATTTTTCACAGAAATAGAACAAAGAATCCTAAAATTTATATGGAACAACGAAAGACCCTGAAAAGCCAAAGGAATCCTGAGGAAAAAGAACAAAGCTGGAGGTGTCATAGTCACTGATTTCAAAATATACTAGAAAGCTATAGTAATCAAAACAGCACGGTACTGGCACAAAAACAGACACAAAAGTCCATGGAACAGAATCGAGAGCCCAGAAATAAACCCACACATCTATGGACAGCTAATTTTCACCAAGGGAGCCAGGCACATAGAATGGAGAAAAGAAAGTCTCTTCAATAAATGGTGTTGGGAAAACTGAACAGCCACATGCAAAAGAATGAAAGTAGACTATTATCTTATACCATATACAAAAATTCAAAATGGATTAAATACTTGAATGTAAGACCTGAAATCATGAAAGTTCTAGAAGAAAACATAGGCAGTACGCTCTTTGACATCGATCTTAGCAACATATTTTCAAGTACCATGTCTGACCAGGCAAGGGAAACAAAAGAAAACAAAAAACAAAAACAAATGGGACTACATCAAACTAACCATCGTCTGCACAGCAAAGGAAACCATCAACAATAGGAAAAGACAATCTAACAATTGTGAGAAGATATTTGCAAACCATATATCTGATAAGGGGTTAATATCCAAAACATATAAAGAACAACAAAAAAACTAACAACCCAATTAAAAGATGGGCAAAAGATCTGAATAGACATTTCTCCAAAGAAGATATGTAGATGACCAACAGACATATGAAAAGATGTTCAACATCATTAACTATCAGGGAATGCAAATCAGAACTACAATGAGATATCACCTCACTCTGGTCAGAATGGCTATAATTAAGACAGGAAACAACAAGTGTTGGAGAGGATGTGGAGAGAAGGGAACCCTCGTACACTGCTGGTAGGAGTGCAAACTGGTGCAGCCACACTGGAAAACAATATGGAGATTCGTCAAAAAATTAAGAATAGATCTACCATGTGATCCAGCTATTCCACTGCTGGGTATTTATCCAAAGAACATGAAAACATGAACTTGTAAAGATAAATGCACACCTATGTTCATTGCAGCACTATTCACAATAGTCAAGACTTGGAAGCAACCTAAATGCCCACCAAGGGATGAATGGATAAAGAAGATGTGGTATATATATACAATGGAATACTGCTCAGCCATAAGTAACCAAGAAATCTGGCCATTTGTGACAACATGAATGGAGCTTGAGGGTGTTATGCTAACTGAAATAAGTCAGAGGGAGAAAGTCAAATACTGTACGATCTTACTCAGAAGATGAAAACAGCAAGGAACGATCACAGAGAGGCAGAGATGAGACTGGTGGTTACTGGAGGGCAAGAGGGGAGGGAGGAGGTTGCAAGGGGTGATTAGGCACATGTGTGTGGTGATGGACTGTAATTAGTCTTTGGGTGGTGAACATGATGTAATTTACACAGAAACCTAAATATAATGATGTACATCTGAAATCTATATAATGTTATAAACCAATGTTACCACAATAAAAAAAAAGAGAGACCCAGAAATGACACAAATGATACGCTTTGTAGACAAGCTCATGGAAGCAGTTATTATGATTCACTGGGTCTACCTTGCTCATTCCTTCACCTTGTAGAATATCGTGGTCTGTGTGCTCAACAGCGCTGAAGCCTTGCCTGGGCTCCTAGATATCATCCCGTACTTTCAGAATGGCTAATCTTTTCCCACACTTGACCATTCTGGACCCAAGTTAAATTCCCAGTGAAAGGAGAAGCACAAGGCAGCTTGTGGGTTTGAACATTTTCCCTTCAGGTGTCTCCCACATGAAAGTGCCATAATTTGTCCCAGAAGAAGAGAGTTCCTTGAGGAGGATGTGGGGGGTGAGTTTTAAGGAGAGTCTTTTTTTTTTTTTTAAAGATTTTATTTTTTTCCTTTTTCTCCCCAAATCCCCCCAGTACATAGTTGTATATTCTTTGTTGTGAGTCCTTCTAGTTGTGGCATGTGGGACACTGCCTCAGCGTGGTTTGATGAGCAGTGTCATGTCCACGGCCAGGATTCGAACCAACGAAACACTGGGCTGCCTGCAGCAGAGCGTGCGAACTTAACCACTGGGCCAAGGGGCCAGCCCTAAGGAGAGTCTTGGAGTCAGAGTTTCTGGGGGCAGTATTGTACTTTTCAGAACTTAAAGGGAAGAATCAGGTATTTTGCCATTCAGGGCCCTTCTGCAGTTTGAGACTTACTAGAAATGAAAGGCACTTGACACTGAAGATCACACAGTATATTGCTCATGCATTTGTTCAAATTTGGCTCTAAAAAGGCACCAAGGGCTTCGTTTTATGATAGTTCTAAAATCCTTTTTGACTTCTTGAATCCAGCAAACTCAGCTTTAGGTCTTCCATTTTTTATTGGTTTTAGGAAAATTATCATAGATTCCACTTTATTGAGGGTATATTATTTTACCGACGTACTTGTAAGATGCTAATTCCACAGGAAAAATAAAAAAGTTTACCTCTTTGGTCTTTCTCAGCTCCTCTAATTGCAAGGTGTCCCTTTCATGTTGTTTCAAGAGCTCCTAAAAATAATTTTTTGGGGAAAAGGTCAGCACTGGGGTTCTGGCGCTTCTTTCAGAAAATTAAGAAAGCCAAAATAGGATTCAGGAATATAATATTCACCAAAGTTTAGATATAGGTTTAATGAAGTACATATTACAAACTAATTATATGATGTGTGACGTTAAATAATAAAAATCTTACTCATGTTCAACCTTAGTACATTGACAAATATTTTTTTTCTTTTTTCTTTTTGTGAGGAAGATTCACCCCAAACTAACATCCATTGGCAATCCTCTTTTTTTTTTTTTGCTTGAGGAAGATTAGGCCTGAGCTAACATCTGTGCCAATCTTCCTCCACTTTATATGTGGGTTGCCGCCACAGCATGGCTGATGAGTGGAGTAGGTCTGCACCTGGGATCCAAACCCAAGAACCTGGGCTGCTGAAGTGGAGAACACACGGAACTTTAATCACTCAGCCACAGGGCCAGCCCCCACATTGACAAATATTAAAAGAAATTATATTTTCATGAAAGACTTTTCTTGTTAGTGTATAGATTCAACACTGTTAAATACCCAATTCTCCACAGACTGAACTTTATAGTCAATGCAATCCCAGTCAAAATACCAGCAGGCTTTCTTGCCAAGATAATTCTAAAATTTAAATAGAAATACAAAGGATCTAGAAGAGTCAAAACAATCTTGAAAAACAAGAGTAAAGTTGGAAGATTTTCACTCCCTGATTTCAAGCTACAGTAATTAAGACAATTTGTTTTTGACCCAAGTATAGGCAAATAGTTGAATGGAACAGAATAGAGAGTCCCCCGCACTCCCTAAAGACATCAAAGACACCAACGAAACTCACTGGAAAAGGAAAGCTTTTTCAACAAATCATTCTGGAACAACTTGATATCCATATGGAAAAAAATGACCTATGACCTCTACCTAACTCCGTGCACAATGATTACTTAAAATGTATCATAGAATCATAAAAGCTAAAGTTATGAAGTTTTTAAAAAAATAGATATCTTTGTGTCCTTGGAATAGGCAACAATTTCATAGAAAGAACACAAAAAGCTATAATCACAAAAGAGAAAATATTGATAATTTGACTTTGATCAAAATTACAAACTTCTACACATTGAAAGACAATGTGAGCGAAATGCAAAGGCAAACCACAGGCTGGGAGACAGAATTCACAACATATATATCTGACAAAGAACTTGCATCCATTGTATAAAAAGTACTCCTAGACATCAATAACAAAAGGATAAATAACCCAAGATTTTCTAAATGGCAAAAAACTTGAACTGACACTTCACCAAAGAAAACAGAAATGGTCCAATTGCCCAACATAACTAGTTATCAAGGAAACTAAAACCATAATGAAATACCATTTCATACCCACTGGCATAGCCAAAATTAAAAGATTGGCAATACTGGTTTCTGTTGGTGATATGCAGGAACTGGAATTCTCATATATTAAAGATGCAAGGGTAAAATGGTGCAACTGCTGTGGAAAATAGCTTGGCAATTTCTTGTAAAGTTAAACCTACAACTGCCCAAGGGCCCAGTAACAGCATCCCTAGGTGTTTACCCAAGGGAAACGAAAGCGTGTGTCTACAAAAATCCTTGTACAGGGGTGCTTATAGAAGATTTATTTGTAAAAGACAAAAAATGGGAACAACTCAAACCTCCAAAACCAGGAAAATGGTAAATACATTGGGTGATATTCCTATAAAGGAATACTACTGAGCAATAAAAAAGGAAGAGATGACTGATATGAACAACAAATGGATAAATTTCACAGACATTATATTGAAGGAAGAGAAGTTATACACAAAAGAGCATATACTGTATGATTCCATTTATGTGAAGTTTACAAGCAAGTAAAACTAGTCTATGGTGGTGGGATTTGAAAGAGTGGTGGTCTTGGGGCAGGTTTTGAGGAAGATGGGGCTTAACTGGAAAGGAACACAGAGTGCTTTCTGGGTTGATGAAATGTTCTAGATCTCGATTTGGGTGTTGGTTATACAGATGTAAACATTTTTCAAAACTCCTCCAACCGTATACTTCATATCCGTGCATTTTGCTAAGTGTAATTATACCTTAATGAGAGAGAGAGAGAGAGAGACAGGGTACCCGTTCACAGATTTATAGTCAGCATCACCAGACAGAAAATCAGAGGGAGGACGATGTATCAGATGATCAAATCTCTCCCCACTAGAGGACCTGCTACTTCTATTCAGACGTCTGAGCTCTCCAGACTGCAGGAGCACTAGGCATTCGGCAGAGCACGCCCCATCTCCTCATTATTGTTTTCCTCAACAACATAGTGAATGCTGGAAATGGGTCTTTATTGGTGAAATTAGAAGCTTTTCAATTAGCATGATGGTTACAAATGGGCTCTTAAACATGGAATATTCAAGATATCTAAAATATTTTAGAGACACTCTCCACTTGGCATGTAAAGGGTACAAGGACCTAACAAAGCCTGTAGCCTGTGCACTTAGGGATGGATCTAAGACTGGACTCCTAAGTGCTCCTGTGTGCTGCTTAGGAGGAGCCCCGGTTGCCTGATGCTGAGTACCACAGTTAGAGTCCCACCTCTGTACTAACCACCGTGTGTAGCTCTGATGAATCTTTCATGCACCGAAAAGCTCAGAGAGCTGGTGGTGTGACTGCTTGGGACCTGCTTGCTAACACACATCTGCTTAGCAAATGTCCACGTATTTGGTAGGATTCGGCTGAGACCTCCTTTCATTATAACCCGGTATCAGTGTCGAGGTTGTGCAGGAGTGACCAACACGAGTAGCTAACCCTCATTTGCTTAGTTTAGTTTACAACAATGCCCTTTCTCTTCAACTACAAGGATGAAAGGACATTCGGAGACCAGGATTTTGGCAAAATAGGGAATTTCAGGCTCTGTATATGGTTAGCATTTTATTATTTCCTGTTAATTACAATTTTTGTCCCAGTAACCCCGTGTTAAGACTGTCTAGGAAAAAGACAAGCAGACTATCAGTCTCCTTGCATGTGTTCCCAGGGCAGCTGGGAAAGGAGGAATATGCCCATGCAGACAAACAGCTCGCCTAATCCCCAGGCGCACCTGGGGGCCGGGCGCTGCACCAAGACTGCACGGCCCACCCCTGAGGTCCTCTGCACTCAGTTACCTCCTTCTCTCGGTTGAAGTTCTCAAAGACGGCACTGTGGGAGTCCTGGATTTTCTTCTTTTCTTCTTCCGACTCTAACTCAAACTTCTTTGTTATGTTATGTTCTGTGGAGGTGAGAAGAAATCACACATCAGTGTAGATGTGGGAAAAACAGAGGCAGAGAGAAAACTAGAGGATCTGAAGATAACAGAAATTCCAGACTGGGTCAAACTCAAGGTCTTACAGCCTCGTGTTCGCCTGACGCTCACCTGGAGATGCTCGAGAGCTGGGTGAACACGGTGGCGGTTCTAATCACATCACCTTCTGGGATTGACCTCTGATGTCTCTGGTTCTTTCCATGTGGTTTACTTTGGATCCGTTGCTTATTATTGTGTCCATTCCCTCTGGTGAAGTAACCACTATGCTTGCTTGGATATCCTTATCTTAAAGCACAGCTCTCGGCTAACGTGACTTTTCCAGCAATAAAATTTATTCTGTCCTTAGCCCTGGGGTAGAGGTAAGTTTAACCATTTTGGGAAGCTGCCAGCAGAGTCCCAATACTAAACAGGAGGAAGAGGTGAGGGCTAACACAAACCTCATCTTGAGCCTCGCAGTGCTGGGGGTGGAGAGGGAGGCAACCCCTGGGCTTGCAGGACAAGTCTGCACTGAGCTACACCATGAGCAGCTAAGGACTGCTTATCCCAGACTGGTTGTAACATCTCAACTTAGACTTTGACAACATAGGATGACTGTAACATGAGTAGCCAGGAGCCTGGGAAATGAGCTGGGCTATCCTGCACCAGGATTCCAGGTCACGCCTCTAACAGGGGCAGCTCCACCATTCCCCAGTCTTAACTCCAGGGTCCTCATGTTGCCTTCTTACAATCCACAGTCCCCAGCAGGGAAGGAATGGCCTGAGGATTAACTTTCCCAGGGAGTATCTGCGTTTAATTGAGTAATTTTGTTAAAACCAATGAAATCTGATATGAACTGGGTGAGGGCAGGATGTGGAATAGGTTTAGAGAGGCCCCACTCCTGCCTCCACTAGTCCTCTAGGTAGGGGAGCAGAGGCTCCGTAAATCCCTCTCTCCTTTCTCCATTTACAAAGAAGCTCAGCGGGGTGGGGGCTCACCTATAGAGCACGCTGTGTGATCTAAAGTCTGTGCTGAGCGTGGGAAATATTAAAAATATAGAGCGATATATAAATGTACCAAATCAACATGTTGAATTTTAAACTTGCACAGTTATATGTCAATGATAGCTCAATTACAGATAAATATAATCGTATATATAATCAACATACAATCATATATATAATAATCGTCCATATATAGTCATATGTATATATAATCAAACAAGGCTTCCTTTGGAGGGTGTGGGCATATAGAGGCTCACAGTATAGGATTGTATTGCCCTTCCCCAAACAATTGAATACTTGAAACTCTAATTCAGGAATTTTTTTTCTGGAACTTTGGGGTCACTGGTGTCCAGATAATAAGTCTACACTCCTACAGATGCCCCAAAACTTGTTGCAGTCCCTGATGGCCAAACATGGAACCAGTGAGTTTTGGAAGGTGCAGGCTCAGACCCCCAGGGGCCGAACTTCATAAAAGACTCCATCTTTGTTGTCACTTCCTTGAAAACTCCAGGCACCTTGTATTCAGGAGTCCCGGCATGTGGCCCATCACCCTTACTGAAACCAAGGCTGCCCTCCTCAAGTCGAGACCAAGCTGAATGGCAGTGTTTTGGTGCACCTGTCATCGGAAAGTCAGAAGTTTCCATACTCACTTTGCTTTAGCAGGATCTTTTCCCGCTCCAACTTCTCATCCTTCTCCCATTCTGCCTTCTTCTTTGACCACTTATCTTCCAACTCATCATAAATGCTGTCCTGTGGAGACACAAGACACCATGAAGAGAAGGTTCTTGAGAAAGGACACCTGGAGAGGCCATAAACTCACAGCAGGGCTGGACCCCCAGCACTGCACACCCGCCCACAGCTCTGGGCCCCATGCAGCTTCCCTCACCTGGGACCCTTGCTAGGGGACCCCAACACGGGGGCTGAGGAAGGTAACTTCTAGCCCAGCTCGCCTGAGAGCCTGCGAACCCTAAATGTCAAGGGCAAACTGCATGGCGTCTGCCCCAGTGGGACTGGGCTTCCTTTGAAGACAGGCAGGGTGCCCCTGAGGGACCCACAGGCCAGCTCCCTCTGAATCCGCAATCACTCAACGGCACGTGAATAGGGAAATGCCTAGTAGTTAACTTGAAGACTTAGAAAACAATGGGCTGTTTTTCAGAGAGTGTCCATTTTTCCTCAGCAAGGCTAACTTCCTTTGTAGCTGAGGTTAAATAAGCCTAACGCGATGCCAGTCCTGGGGTTTGGCTGGGACCTCATGAGGTGGAACCGCAGGAGGGCAAGGCCCAGGACCTGGCCACAGCCAGTAAGTTCTCGGGACCCTGACCCCCTTGCTCTCCAGGTTAGCAGCAGGATTCACACTGGGCCCAGCATCAGACCTCATTTGTAACTGTGGTCATTTAGAGAGAAGTTCTTGCTCATCATTCTCGAGACTGGTGGGCAGTTCGGTTTCCATAGAGGTCAAAGCTCTGGAGAGGCCCAGCCTGCAGCCAACACGAAGGGCACCTAGGGAACTGAGAGTGCTTACCTGCCCATCACCCTGATGCTTCTCTCAAGCTCCACTCTGTGACTCGCTCCCTGACTCTATCAAGGTACATCGTGGAAAATGAGTTTTGGATACAAGCTCAGAATTGAAACTGTGAGTGGAGAATACAATTTCAGAGGTGGTCCTTTGTTTGCCAGGACTGAATTGTTTCCTGGGGCTCCGGACTTTCAGTGCTAAAACCAGGAAAGTCCTGGCAAACCAGGACTAATTGGTCACCATAGAGTGGGGCTTTCTGCCTCAGCCCTTGCCCTGTCTACTCCCCATCTCTCACTCCCATCCTCCTAGGAAGAAATCATGCCCTAACTCTCTTTCTCTGCACCTCCGTCAAATTAGCCGATTAAATGCATGGGTTGTGTTCTGAGATAGCTGGAGACCCCCATGCTCTGCTTTGGGACTGGGGCAGGTACAGACACAGTGATCCAGTCTTTCTGGATGGCAGCTGGGCCAAATGTCTCAAAGGCCTTTTACATGTTTCCTCCTTTTGACTTAGCACTATACTAGAATCAAAGATGTTACAAAATACAGATATTAGTGGCTGTCTTGAGGTAGAGACAGTTCTTTCTTTTTGTTGTTGGGTTTTGTATTGCCATTAAAAAACAAAAAACAATGAGCAGGTGTTACTTTTGTAATCACAAACGTATTTTCCAATGCCCTGCTTTAGGGTCTGGGTGACTGACTTGTCACTTGTGGAAGCCATCACAGTCTGCAGGTTCACTCTTCTCCCCGGGTGCAGCTAGTGCCGCTGAGGTCCAAGGACGCTGGGAATCTCAGGAAATTATTTTCTGGGCAAGGGCTCTAGATTCATCTCAATGCCATCAGCAGGAAGGAGCTTTGCTTCTCTTACTCTCGTAATCTACCACGGAGCTCCAAATCTTACCTGATACATATAAAACATATTCTTCAAATACTTATACTCCTTTTGCATCTCCTCTGGACAAAAGGAAAACAACAGGGTCATCATTATACCTCTGAAATGCACGTTTTCAAATTCAACTGTGAGCTTTCCTATATACCTTCCCTACCCCAAACTCAGGCCCTGTACAGTGGAACCGTGTGTGCCTCAGAAATCCCTCTGGAAGCTCATCAGAAATTCAGATGCCTGGACCCCACTCTAAACCCACTGACTCGGGGTCTCAGAGGAGAGGCCCAGCATATGTCCATAATATGATCTGGATGCACATGAAGTCTGAGAACTAGCCCCCAGGAGAAACCCATATCTGCAGAAAAAGATGAGCGAAACCTTGCAGCATGCGTCTGCTGCTCTCTTTTTAAACAACATTTCCTAGTGTGCATTGATTTTGAAAACAATACATCTTCTCTTTAGAAAATTCAGAAGTCAGCAAAGTGTAAATATTGTCTTTAAAAAATGTAAGGCAAAAGAAAGGGAGAAGCTTATAGCATTTCTCCTTCTCCCTGTGGAGATCAGTCTATAAACTCACAATTCTGAAGGGTACACTCTCTGCCCTTCCCAAGGGCAGCATAAACAGTGGGCTTAAAGGCCAACACAACCTTTATGGATTACAGGACCATAGGAATCATAGTGTCAGCTGGAATAGAATGAAACACCATCATTTCACAGGTGAGGAAACTTGCTGAATTGCAATAGTGTTATATTTGTAGAACACTGAGATGTACAAAGTGCCTTCACATTCTTATCCCTCTGATAAAGGCAAGTATTATTGTCCTCAATTCCCAGATGGGGAAACTGAAACTCAAAGAGGTTAAGGGACTTGCTCAGATCCCAAAAGTTGGTCACAGGCCCTTCCATCTTCCAGGCCTAGGAAAGACACTGGTAGACGAGGTTTCCCTCTTCAGTTTCATTCTCCATCACCTTGTCTCCTTGGGCTTTAGGAGGAAACCGTGAAAACCTAGCCATAGCCCATCCATGGCCAGCGGAGTCCCTTGGCCTGAGACCCACATGGTCAGCCTCCCGCCCCTTTACCAGGGTCATTCTCCCCAGTCCCGGTCATACCTAGTTTCTCCTGGGCAGCCAACTTCTCCGCCCTCAAGGCTGCTTTGTAGTTGTTCTCCAACTCAGTGAGCTCTGCTGCGTGGGCCTCTTTGAGCTTCCTGTGGGACCCCGGGGGAAGGCCACAGTCATCAGTGCAAAGAAGTCCAGAGCTGAGCTGTCAGATTTACCCCTTTCCGCCTCCCCTCCCTCGCACAGGGGGCAGGCTGCAGGGCCCTTGCTCCCTGATGCATTCTCCTGGCATCCATCCAGAAAAGGGAGAGAAGACCGCTGTTTTCACCAACCACTCTTTTGAATAAAGCCAATCAGGGCCATAGACTGCCCTCACAGCACAGTCTTTGCTTATATCTCTCTTGGGAAACCATGGGCTGCATTAGCGCCCCGGATAATTTTAGAGCTCAGGGTCTCTCCAGCCTCCATTCCACTGCTCAAGATGAGCATTAAAATGAAAGGCTATACGGGGGCTGGCCCCATGGCCAAGTGGTTAAGTTTGCGCACTCTGCTGCAGGCAGCCCAGTGTTTCGTTGGTTCGAATCCTGGGCGCGGACGTGGCACTGCTCATCAAACCATGCTGAGGCAGCGTCCCACATGCCACAACTAGAAGGACCCACAATGAAGAATATACAAATATGTACCGGGGGGCTTTGGGGAGAAAAAGAAAAAAATAAAGTCTTTAAAAAGAAAATGAAAGGCTATACGAGCCGCCAAACCAGGAAAAGACATGGAGGAACCTTAAATACATATTGGTAAGTGAACAAGGCCAATTTGAAAAGGCTACACACTATATGATTCCAACTATATGACATCCTGGAAAAGGCACAGCTACAGAGACAGTCAAAAGATCGGTTGCCAGGAGTTGGGGGAGGGAGGGGTGGGTGGGGAGAGCACAGTAGATTTTTAGGGCAGTGAAAATACTCGGTATGATAGTATAATGATGGATACATGTCACCGTAAATTAGTCCAACTCACAGAATGTACACCAGGAGTGAACTAGGGACTTTGGGTGTTAATGACATGTCAGCGTAGGTTCATCAGTTGTAACAAATGCACCATGGTGGTGTGGGGTGTCACTAATGGCATAGATTGTAGCGGGGGGGTGGTGTTAGGGGGTGTATGGGAACTCTGTACTTCACGTGCTATTTTACTGTGAGCCTAAAACTGCACTAAAAAATAAAGTCTATTATAAAATAAATGAGTTAATTAATTAAAATTTTTTTTAAAAAAGCAAGTCTGTGACTGAACCAGGAGGACTCCTCTCCCCCAGGATGTCTGGGGCTGCTCTGGTGCCCCATGGGGAGTGAGAAGGGGATTTCGTGGGTTTCTCACCACACACACAGCACACCTCCTCTACTTCCTCATTGTTTGTCTTTGTGGCTTTGCACCCTGCCCCTCCCATGCCTTGTTCCCTTTTTGCCCAGGCCCTGACCTAGCAGCCAGGGAGAGTAGAGGTGAGAAGAGGAACAGGAGGAAGAAGAGGAGGAGGAGGGGAAGGAAGAAGACAAGGAGGGAAAGGAGGAGGAGGAGGAGGAAGAGGAGAAGGGGGAGAAAGAGGAGGAGGAAGAGGAGGAGAGGGAGATAGGGGGAGGGGAAGGAGAGGGAGGAGGAGGAGGGGAGGAGGAGGATGGGGAGGAGGAGGGGGAGGAGGAAGAGGAAGAGGAGGCTGGGTTGAGACAACAGCTGTCTACCACAGAAATCTCCTAGAGAACAAAGAATAGCTCTTCTCAGCAATCAACAAAAAGAGAGATTATAACTGAAATGAAATAATTCGATGAGAAAGTGCAAAACCAGGAATAACCTCTGTGCTACATTTTATTGGCCTCATGTCCAACCCTCTTGCTCTCCAAAGACCAGTGTCTCATTCCCCCAGCCCTCACCACCCAGTTCCGTTTGGCGCTCTCTGAAATCCCAGTGAGCTGAATCCAGCAGGGATGCAGGAGCCTTAGGGCCTTCAGCACAAGAGGGCTTGTGCCAGAAAGCCTACCTGGTCTTGTTCTCAAAGCTCTGCTGCATCTTGGCACAGCGGAGATCCATTTCATGGGAGAGCTGGAAAGAGGCCCGCATTAACAACCAGGACCGAGCACCCTTCCCCACTCCAATCTGCCACTTCTGAGAAGCCTTCCCGCTCACAGGGGACGCCCCGCCCCCCCCCCCCCCCCCCCCCCAATGTGTGCTCTGCAGTGCCGAGAGCACCTCATTACTGAGGGAACAGAGCAGTTCCTGCCTTGCTCCATGCTGTTTGGCATGTAATCCGTTTACGACATTGGTGCACGGGCACCATCCCTGTCCCTAGCTGGTTTTGTGGGCAGGTCTGGTCTCCTCCGCTTGACTGTAATCTCTTTGTAAGACCCTGCCCTTGGGATTCTCAGATGCATAACTCAATTGAGCAATCATTTATTGAGCAGAGAGCTTGGCTTAGAAGAGCCAAAGAGGTCTAGGACTCAGACCCTGCCTTCAGGGCACTTAAAATCCAGTGTTACTGAGTCCTCACCAGCAGAGCGGCTGTGTTCCAGCACGCAGGATTTGCTCTCTTCCGGGTGACCCTCATCCTAACACATCAGATCCTCTGGCCAGTGCCTCCAGAGGAATGGACACTTCCAAACCAGTCAGCGCCCACTGCCAGCTGAGACAAGGGGTCAGGGCTTGTCCTTGTCCCTCTCTGACTACACAATGGAACCAGCATGGCTCCCTTCCAAAATGGTCACTCAACAATTTGAGGTGTTCACAGATGGGAGGATTTTAAGGGTCTCAATCAGAGGTTCCTCTGTGGAAACAATCTCTAAGTATGTCTTCAGCAGGGCCAATGCTTCAGGGAGTGAAAATGTGCATTTTGCCTGCTAACCCACCACTGATGAGGTCAGTGATCTCATGCAAATTACTTAACTTCCTGAGCTTCAATTTCCTTTCTATAGAAGGAAACCATAAACCTGGCAGGGCTTTCAGATAAATATAGTAATGAATCAACAGTAAGGGAGGTCTCAGCCTGAGTTATAAGCTGTCACCTCCAGACGCAGATGCATCTGGGGCACATCAGAGGGTGAGGAGCAGGCCTTCCAGGAAGTCAGCCTTCGCAAGTGGGTTTCAATAACAACAGGTCTGGGGTTGGGGTGGGGTGGTTCTGAGCATTGCTCTGGTTTCTCACTCCAGCCCAGCCCAGCAGGCACACCTGCTCCAGGTGGGGATGAAGAGACCATGATAAAACAGATGGTAAAATCTAAAGGAGATGTCACCAAGACCCCCAGGAAACACAAAGAGTGCAAATTAATATCAGCACTGAATAATAATAATAATAATAATAATAATATCTGAAGTGTGTGCTTTGGGTTTGAACAGCGAGAGGAAGCAGGCACCGGAGGCTTCCGGGCAGCTTTTGAGCAGCACGGGAAGCACTGACCAGGCTGGTCCTTAAGCAAGAGCCTCAGCAACCTCTGAAGCTTAGCTCACCACCAGGGCCATGGCAGCCTGAAGGGAAATGGCCGGCGCCCCCTAGTGTGGGGAGGACAGGGCATTGAGCACAGCTGAGGGCTGAGGCCCCGGGAGAAGTGGAAATTGAGTTAGGCCTTGAGGAGGGACTCGAGTTCTTGCAATTATAGATGCAGATGGATGCAGAGAGATACTCCTGGGAGTCAGCCCTGATGGCCTAGTGGTTAAAGTTTGGGGCTCTCACCAGTTTGGTGGCCCAGATTTGGTTCCCCAGTGCGGAACCACACCACCCACCTGTCAGTTGCCATGCTGTGGTGGTGGCTCACATAGAAGAATGAGAAGGACTTACAACTAGAATATACAATTAGGTACTGGGGCTTTGGGGAGGAAAAACAAAAAAGGAGAGGAAGATTGGCAACAGATGTTAGCTCAGGGCAAATCTTTCCCAGAAAAAAAAAAAAAAAAAAAAGAAATACTTCTGGGTGACCATCTTCAGAGCTGTTGCCTGGACAACAGGCCCCCACGAGAAAAGTGCTGGCATCTTGCCTGGCACACAGCAGGTGATCTGAAAATACTGGTCTTTCCCTACCCATAGAGACGTCAGCTAACTCAAGGGTCACTCACCAACTTTTGGGTAGACTGGTGGTCTCTGTTCATTTGCTCTATTATCACTGTCAGCTCTGAGATCTGCTCCTCTAGGTCAACAATGATATCAGTCCTGCGGGATAAGTCACTCTCCAGTCATCCACAGAGCTTCCATTCCAGGCCAGTCAGGCCCCTCCCCGAGCATGACTGGCTCTGGCCTGGTGAGAGCGGGCAGGTTCTGCACTGCTCGCTCATCGTGGGGGTGGGTTGGAGAGGTAGAGGGCTGCTCCGGGAGAAGGAATTTGGCAGTAGGGTGGTTGAGCCTCAGACACGGCCCTTTTGGGTAAGCTAGCCAGAAGTGAGCAGGTGTGGTTTGGTGCCCTATTGAATGGAAGGGAAAGAGGAATATGTCAGAAATCTATCAGGATTTGACCTTGATTTGGTATTAATAGTTGAAACGGCAGAGGGAGAAGTTCAGAGGAATAGGAAATGAGAAGACAGGGGAAGAGGACTGATGCCCACAGTGACCCATAGACAAGGAATGGGCCAGAAAACGACAAAGATGGCATTTCAGAGAGTGACTTTCAGAATAGATACTGGTTTTCTTTGCATCTGGGTCTGGGGCCTCACCAATGTCTGTAAGATTATTCGGCTCTATTTGGTGGGGCCAGAGCAGACAGGGCGGTGGGCAGTGCTGTGTGCAGTGGGGCAGAGAGGAGGGTCTTGATTCAAGACGCTGAGAAAACAAGAGAGAGGAGATAGGAGAGGGCACGAAGGTGCGCGCAGAAAGTTGACCAACAGGGAACTCTCGTCTTTTGAACACGATCTTCACTATCAGTCGTACTCACGGCTTTCCCAGGGAATGACACAAGCATGAGTTACTATGTTTTATTATGCCACAACTGGTGACAACTTTCTTATGAGCCCAAGAGGTGGTCGTGGGTTCTGGCTTGACTGCGGGTGCACAGCCCACTCCCCTCCAGCAGAGGGCTGTGGAGAGCTGGGCAAAGGAAACAGGCTGACGGTTCCCACCGGAGGGGAAGACAGGGCCTGGAGTCTGGTTTCTATGGGCCAGGTCAGATCAGGGCCACTCCACAGGACAGCCTCACTCTACCTGCATCCTTCAGCCTTGTACCAAATGAAACCACTGCAAACAGTTTGGTTGTATGCTTTCTACGCACTTAAAAATAGGTAGGTGATTGTGTGTGTATGTGTGTGTGTGTTTTCTGTTGTTTTTGATCTTTTAGATTTCTGTCTTGGAAAAATAATTTTCACAGCAAGCTGAAGTCCAAGGAAGAGACACTCACTGGGGAGCCATTGCAATAGCGCAGGCAGGAAGTAACAGCTGGGGAAGGAGAGGGTAAGAATGAGAGATTTAGGAGGTGGAATGAAGGGGATGTGGGGACTGACTTTACATGGCCTTGAAGGACAGAGAGTGGGTGGGGCTTGACTGACAGAGAGGATAGCAGTGTGTTCAACGTGGATGGAGTCAGGCAAGAATCCTGCACGCTGCATCTCCCAGAGGCATGAACTGAGTGGTATTTTTGAACATAGTGAAACAGAGATGCATACTCAGGCCTCCCAGAAACTCTGACTTTACTCTTAATTCTCACCCTCCAAATTCAGACTATTTCACGAATATTTCATCTGTTTATTACCTCCAGCAGCCATTGCTCTCCTTTAGTACAAATTACACTACACCCACTCATTTTCCAGATCCACTGCCTGACTTGACCTTCATCCTGACTCGAATGGGACTGGAGCAGAGAGGTGGTGCAGCGCGAGCAGGCACAGGGCTGAGGAGTGAAGTGACCTCGCGGCACCCTCAGAGCAGGGACTAGGCGTGGAACATGGGAGCTCCTCCTCGAGGCCAGGCCAGGCCGGGCAGAGAAAGCTCTGAAGAGCTGGATGTCGGTCCGAAGACATTACCTGGAAATTTTGACTTTGTCCATGATCTCTGATTCCGACTGCTTTTTCCTATCAAACATCTCATCTCCCAGGGTGACAGAAATCTGCTCCCTATTCCGAGTGAGGCGGTAGCCAGGGGACACGTTTATCACTTCCTGGGGATCAGGGTGCAAGGTGAGATAATACTGCAGATTTGGAGAGCTGAGACTCCTCCAAATCCTCCACCAGTGCCCCACTCACATCTAAACACGGAGACAAGACACGGGGTTCCGGGCCCAGGGCCCTCCTCTGCCCTCCCCCGGGCCCTACTCCCTTCCTACTTCGGGCCCAGATTCCTCTCCCAAGATCCCATCACAAGACTCAATTGGCTCCTGCATGTGCCCGTAGGCCTTTCAAGCTCAACATGTGCAAACCTAGCCGTTGATGCCTCGCTCCACACTCTGCCCCCAAGCCCTGCCCTCCTCTGCATCCTCCATCGTGGCCAGAGGCCAGGAGCAGCCGGGCATTAGGGAAATCACTCAGGTTTTGGAATTTAGGCAGGCCTGAGTTTAAATCCTGGCTCTGCCACCAACCATAGTTATTCAACATCTCTGTGCCTCAGTTTCCTCATCACAAAATGAGGATGATAACTCCTCCTCAAAGGGCTTTTGTAATGAAGAAACAAAATAACCTGAGAAAATGCCTAGCGCAATTGTGCAAACAAACCAAGCCATTTTAGTCAGTTCCTCTTCTGCCCCCACTAGATGCCAAGTCAGAAATCTGGGCAGGGCTACCAGCCAGCATAGAGCAGGATAAGATTGTACCTTCTAGAGTTGTGCGGACAAGCCCCGCTGCGGCACCGGGGGTCCTGTCACCATCATCTCCCACAGGGATCTCAGCCTCAAGCTCTCCTCCCCATACCCCTGCCCTGGAATGGCCCAAAGCCACCAGTGACTTTCTCTTTGGCTCTGGCGATCACTTCCCAGCTGGCCTGTCCCCAGCCTGACTCCCCTAAGGTTCATCATCCTCTCCACCTGGAGGGCTGTCACATTTTTGTTTGTTTGTTTGTTTTTCCTGACTATTACGGGACTGCATGATCCTTATTTAAGGGGAAAAAGAGGAAAATAGATAAAAACAGAAAGTAGTAAAAAGCACCAATAATATCCCACTAGACAGTGTTTTTCCTAGAATGTGAAGATTACCTGGTCCTATGACTGTGTCAGACCTGCCCAGGCTCCTAGACACCAAAAGGATTAGGCCCAAACTCCTAGGCAGATGTGAGATCCTTCTGGGTGTGTCCCCATCTCTCTTCAGCAGCTCCCAGCCCTGCTCCCCCAGGTGCCCTGACGGTCCCTCCCTCAGCATTCGTGTTTTCCCAAGTGTAGCAGACGGTTTCCTGCATCTGGGCATGAGCTGTACCCTGGCCCACTCTCCTCGCCCTGCACAGAGCGTAGAGAGTGGAGACTAAATGCCCTCTCTGGGGTCTGGCTGAGCCGAGGTCAGGACCTGAACCCCCACGGGCACATGTTATACGCAGTCATTACCGCTCTTCCTCATAGGATCATTGCAAAGATTCAATGCAGGAGGTATGTGCAAAAGGCCCATGCCTGCACACAGTAGGTGCTCAGTAAAAGTTAATCCCACTGCCCTCTTCCCATTTTTACTCACGCAAGGTGATTTATTGCTCTCCTCTTGTTTTCCGAAGTGGGTTTTCACTCTGCAAGAGAAAGTCATGCTCAGAAAGCAATCAGAGAGTGAAATGAAGTTCAAAGCTTAGGAGCTGCACCCCGATTCCATCACTCATCTGTAAAAACGGACACCACCAGGATGACCTGTGAGCTCCTTTCAGCTCTCAAAATATCTACTTTGGGAAATAGGGAATGTTTAATGGTCCAGGGATCATCGGCAGGCAGGTTGCGATAAAATGGCAGGTGGTAAAAATGTGGGAAATCAACGAGTTGCTAGTCTAACAGTAGAAGAATTCCTACAACAAGGACCAGGAGGCTGGGAGGGATGGTCCAGAAGGCCCCCCGGGAGCATGGTGCATGGTCTCAAGTGCACAGATTGTTCAGTGACATCTATGCTGTCAGCACAACAGCCTTTCTTATTTGCAGCAGCAATTGGTGTTCTGGGACCTTGAAATTGTCAGTAAAGTGAATTCGGGATAAGCAAAGTGTTACTATTCCGAGATCGTAACTAATTTTTCTTTTCAGGTATAGAAACATGAACACAATATCCAGCACCCAAATACCCAAAGAGTGTCCTTAAGGGAGCTCGCCTGGAAGGTTGAAAGATTGGAACAAGAGTAACTAGCGTCTGATGAGCTGACAGAATGGTTAGGCCTTAGTGTATGATGTTAGGGCCTCTCCTCTCTGCCTCAACATACATTCACACATGGACGCATACCATCAGGCAGCTGCTGTTAAGACGGACACCTGAAACCCCCTCCAGGAGTTCCATTTTCCCCGCGATCCAAACCACCATATCATTAGGAGTTGTGGAGTTGGTGCCCCGGGTGGGACGGTTTCAGAGTCTGTGGGTAACTCTGAGTGTGGGGAGTGGGATTGGGAGGATTTTCCCTGGTGAGAGCAGTTCCACCTTGGTTAATAACCACCAATCTTGTTCTGATCCCACATCTCCCACCCCCAGTGGGGGCCTCCATAGAGGCACTGAGGACTCTTGAGAAACCCAGGCCAAGAATTTGGCTACCTTAGACGCGACCACCAACTTTTGATTTTAACTTTAACTAGCAAAAAAATGATTGTGTGTAAAAAAATGGGCATGAGTGCATGATATACACTAATAATACAATGGGGCCCACATGGAATTCACGAGAAGCCGTTCAACCATTTAAAGTGCAGCTCAACTCATGCCAACCACATGCTCCCATTCATAAACCTGAAACTCTCCACCATGGTGGTATGGTTTGCTTTCTCTGAATTCAGGAAAGCCTTGGGTGGGGTGAGGTGGGGAACCACTGGGTGGCTTGTGTCTCTGAAAAGCTGACTGTGGATTTGAGTTTATGTCTTTTTTGCTCTCAGTAAACCTCCTTGAGCCACGGAGACCTTCCACACTCACTTCAGACCTGCCGGAAACATCAGAGTGTAGCTTCACGGGGACCCATTCTGTCGGTTAACTGTGTTTCTCTCCTTGAGAAGTAAAAGGTAAGGTCGATTCAGAATGACTCTCCTATACTCTTTTTGTCCTTGTCAACCTACTAAGATCATTCCAATTACAGAGACAAATTTTGAGACTTTCTCAGTTCAGCTGCCAGAACAGTCCTTTCAAAATGCAAGTTGGGTCATGTCTCTCTTCTTCTCAGAATCCTGATGGCTTCCCATGTGTTATGAGCCAACTTGTGTCCCTCTCAATTTGTATGTTGAAGTCCTAACCCCTGGTATCTCAGAATGTGACTGGATTTGGAGATTGGGCCTCTGAAGAGGTGAGTAAGTTAAGACAAGGCCGTTAGGACGGGCCCTACTCCAATCTTACCGGTGTCCTCACAAGAGAGACTAGGACACACAGAGACCCCAGGAATGCACACGCGCAAGTGAAGAGGCAGCAAGTGGGCGGCCAGGGGCAAGCCAAGGAGAGTCCTGAGCGGAAACCAGCCCTGCCAGCACCTTGATCTTGGATCCAGCCTCCAGAACTGTGAGAAAACAAATTTCTGTTGCTTAAGCCACCCAGTCTGTGTCTTTTTGTTATGGCGGCCCAAGCAGCTAACACACCATCCCTTTCAGAGTAAAAGCCAGTCCTTACGGCAGCTGGCACACCTCACTGAGTGAGTTTCCTGTTGCTGCTGTTACCAATATTACAAGCTTAGCGGCTTAAAACCACACCAACTTATTACCGCACAGTTCTGGAGGCCAAAGTCTGAAATGGGCTCATGGGCCAAAAATCAAGGTGTTGGCGGGGTTGTGTATTCCTCCGGGAGGCTCTGGGGAGAGTCTGTTTCCTCGCCTTTTCCAGCTCTGGAAGCTGCCCCTGTTCCTAGTGGCCTTTTCCTCCGTCTTCAAAGCCAACAACTGCATCACTCCATCCTCTGCATCTACTGTTGCGTCTCCTTCTCTGTCATGTCTAAGGACCTTTGTGATCACACTGGGCCCACCTGGATAAACCAGGATAATCCATCCATCCATCTCAAGGTCAGCTGATTAGCAAGCATAATTTCACCTGCAATCTTAACCCCTCCTTGGCAAGTAACAGAACACAGTCACAGTTTCCAGGGATGGGGATGTGGGCATCTTTGGGGGGCATTGTTCTGCTGAGAACACTCATCATCTCTGTCACTTCTCTGAGCTTGTCTCCACCACTCTCTGACCTCCTCCACTCCCCCGACACCAGCCTCCTTGCCTTCCTCGAAAAGGCCAGACACGCCAAGCAAGTTCCCACCAGGGCCTCTGTTCTGGCTGTTCCCTCTGCCAGGAGTGTTGCCCTCAGATATCAGTGCGGTCCTGCTGGCCCCTTTACATACAGCCTTGCCCTGATCTCCCTATAAAATAGCACCAAGAGCTCCAGGAGAGCGAGACTTTGCTGTGTTCGCCACTGTTTCCCAACACCTGAAGCAGTGCATAGCAAATGATCGGTACTCAATAAAGACATAAATGGAATACAAAGATCGTGCACAGGCCTAAAACTAAGTTACACGTCTAAGCTTATAAAATGTAGGTAAAAATTTTAATTTATGATTAAAAACAGAGTTGCAATCTACAGAAAGTCTTAGACATGGGAAAGTCAACAGCAAAAGGGTGAGTCAGCCCCATAAATACATGGGGGCCTCTTCGCCTGTGACAGGCGTTGGGCATTGTGACCTTTTAGGGCAGGAAACAGCTATCAGGGGACCCCAGCTGGGAGCTCGTAGTAGTGACTTTGAAAGCTGTGGGAGCAGAGGGCCACAGCGTCCACATGTAAGATCTGAGGTTTGGGGTAATCACGGTGGCTTCTGGCAATTCTCTGACATCCCTGGCAGCAATTAGTCTAAGTCAGGCAAGGCTGTGGAGGCCCAGGAGGGAGATTCTTTTATGCACGTACCTCAAACTATTCCTGCCCTGTGGACATGAAAATACTTACTTTGGGGCGACAACAGGTTTTGTTGTTGGTTGGACATAATTTTGTTTTTTTGAAGCTGGAGGAAGAGGAGTTAGCCTGAAAGTGAAAAATAAATAACAAAAAAGAGAAAATCGGAAATTCAGAAACCTGTCGTAGCACTCTCAGATTAGGTGCACCCCCACGGTGACCCCAAACTGGAATATGTGGTCTGACACCCAGAACCTTTAAAATCAGGACAGTTTTGGGAGCCTCAGGCAGAAGCCTTGGCACTTGTTCACTGTCCCAGGGGGTGCCCAGGTTGGCAGCACAGCTCGCCCCCCAGTTCCCAAAGCTCTTCGTCCCACAGGAGGGGCAGCTGCCATGGGCCCTTCGGCCGGAGCCCCCTTCCTTTCTGCGCTAACTCGGAGACTCGCTCATTCACCACGACACCAGCCTCGCAGGCCCAGCCAGAGCCATGTGCAGCCTGCAGGCCAGGCAACGTCCTCTGGCCCTCTTGGGACTTGCTGCCAAGTTGACTGTTTGGAAATACTGTGAGAGAAAGAAGGCTGCAAATGGGACCCAGGCCCCTAGCTCCCGCCCTCCCAGACAATGCTCACTTGGGCTTCCCTGTGGAGCTCTTGCTTAGTGGCTGAGGGGTCTTGATTAGCTTCCGTGGCCCTGAGTTCCAGGGGTCCCAGCAGGTGCAGTAGATGAGAGGGTTGGGGTCCATGGCAAGAGGTCAGGGGCAGTCTTGGCTGCTAGGTCAGGAGGCCCTTGCTGAAAGGGGAAAATGACAGCAGACAGTTACACATTCAGAGTCAAAGCAAAAGCTTAGAGACAGGTTGGGAAGGACCCAGGGACAGCCCAAAGCACAGACAGTAGATTCTGGAAGCTGTCGCTCTGGTGCAGGGTCTGGACTACAGAATGACACCTCATCCTTGCCATCCAGTATGCTTGACTTGAAAGCACTTTAAAACTGGCCATAATTGAGTGCTTACCGTGAGCCAGGTACACAGTAAGTAACCATGTATTGTTATCCCGATTTCACAGATGAGGACACTGGGGCTCAGAGAGGCCACAGAGGAGCAAGTTGCAGAACTGGGAGCAAGCACAAATCTACCAGCTCCTAAGCCCGTGCTCTTCCTTCAGGTCACCCTAGCTCTCACTGAAGTCAAGAGAAGTCCCTCCTGCACAGAACTTTCTGGAAAATTGCTCTGTTACTCAAATTACAGCGCAAGTGAATTTCCTGCCTGAACTACAGTCAAAACTCTTCCTTGCTGGCTCCACAAAAGAAAAAAATCCCCCCAAAATCCCTCTTTTAAAGGTTTGCATGAAAGACAACTATCAGATAAAGGTGGAGGCTTGATCACACGTATTTATCTTCTTTCTTTTGTAGAACCTCACTAAAATGAGAGCACAGGATTAAAAGAGGCTTAATTCCCTAAGAACAAAGAGAGTGGGAGAGGAGACAATCTTGCACAAGGGATGTCAATCCATGTTTGGCACCATGAGTCCCTCACTTAGCCGATATGCCTGCAAAGGGGGTACAAACCAGAAGGAGCCAATTCCACAAAAAAGGTCCCCAAAGACTCAGGGCTTGGAACCAGTAGGTTATCTGATGATGCTGATAGGCATTTGACAGATCTGTTGGAGCCTGTGGCAGGTGGAATAATGTCCTTCCCCCCGAAAACGTGTCCACATTCCACTGCCTGGAACCTGTGAATATGTTACCTTACCCACCAAAAGCGGCTTTGCAGCTGTGACTAAGTTAAGGATCTTGAGAAGGGAGATTAGCTGGATTTTCCATGCGGGCCCAAGGTAATCACAAGCATCCTTATAGGAAGGTGCAAACGTCAGAGTTGGAGGAGAAGACGGTCAGGTAGGAGTGACGGAGGAAGAGGCCATGAGCCAAGGAATGTGGGCAGCCTCTAGGAGCTGGGAAAGGCTGGGAAGTGATTCTCCCTGGAGTCCCCAGAAGGATGAATCCTGCCTACACCTTATTGTAGCCCAGCCAGACCCACTTCCGACTCTGATCTCAGAACTGTTAGGTAATAAGTTGGTGTTGTTGTAAGGTACTAAATTTGTGGTTATTTCTTACGGAGCATTTATAATAGGAAACAGAGTATTTGGGGAAAAATTAGCAATAGAAACATCAGAAAATAAAAATTGCATAATTACTCCAGGTTAAAAAATATTGTATAAGAAAGTAAACGTAATCATAGTAAGGTGCACACTCATATATGTCAATGTAAACACTTAGTAGTAATTTAACCAAAAAGCGAATTGTGTCTACACTGGAAACCTGGGAGGCGGGGAGGGGAATGGAGGGAGGACGTGTAAGGGCTACGTCCTCCTCTACCATCCCAGGAAGTCAAGAGAGACTGTCTAAAACTGAAAAATCAACAAATGGAGTAGAGGCAAATTATTTAGAAGTATGAAGTTAAATTCCAAAAAAAGTAGCTAAAGGGGTTGAAAATAATCGCCTCTAGGGAGCTCGCCGAGGAGAACTGACAAGTGAGGAGGGGTGGGGCAGAAATTGTGACTTTTCACCAATGAATTTTTAACACAGTCTGATTTTTAAACAATGTCTGTGGATTACCTGATAAAAAATAATGCCAAAAAAATGTTATGAGAACCAATAGACCAACAAAAGCATTATAATGACCGCAGATTAAACTCAAAATTTTAAGTCAGTGACTGGCTCCCAATAATACACTGGAACAACTGTGCTTAAGAATCAGCTGAAAAATGAAACAAACCTTCTTCTGTAACATGACTGAGGCTTGAGAAACCCAGTTATGAGGTCTAATGACATTTAGAGCCAAAGGGGATTTTAACATTGAATCCGTTTTTCAGATGAGGAAACTGAGGCTCAAAGACATGAAGTGACTCGGGGCCGCCTGTAGCTGCTCAGCGGGCAGCAGAGCACTTGCTGGCTCCGCTGTGAGTCCGCACCAGGTGCTGGGAGGGTCTGAGCACCCACCTGCACGTGCCCTCAGGGAGCCGGCAGCCAGTAGGACAGTCGTCAGAAAGGGAGCTGAGGGAGCTGCGGAACCAGGGCAGGACACCTGGCCTTGGAAGAAAGACGACGTGTGCAGGCGGAGGCAGGTGTGGGAGGCCCTGGGTCCGAGGGCTGGGCCCAGGGTGCCATGTGGAGTAGAGGTCAGGACTAGACAGGAGGCCAGCATACTGGGTAAATAGCTAAGGCGACAGCTGCCCCGCTGTGTTGGGGGCCCAGTCAGATCTCAGGGGGATGAGGTGAGGGAAGCAGGTGGGATGGAGCAACCCAGGTGAGGAGACAATGTCACAGGGCCTAGAATTCGGGTACCAATCTGAAAGGAGGCTGCAGCAGTAGCAAGACAGCAGGTTTGCTTCTGCTTGGGACCGTGTATCTGCTTCCTGTGAGGACAGGGGCCCATCCTGAACTCGGGGTGTTAGCAGGTGTCCCTGGGGTGGGAAGTGAGAGGCCGGGGCAGGCTGTCCCCCAGCAGGTGCCTCCCCTATTCCTTTTCTTGCCCAACTGGACGGTGGGTTCTTAAAGGCCAGGCCTCCACCATATGTGCCCCCCACGGAGCCTGGCAAGGGGAGTTGTCCACAATGGGTATTATATTTTTTTCCTGAGTAATAAACTGGGTGCCTACAACCACAGCGACCAGCTCAACAAGGAGAAAAGATACCCGTGGGCAAAACTGCAAAAATATGGCTGTCATTACGATAGTATAGATAATATTAACAATTAGAATCAAAAACCCAAAATGCAGGGGCTGGCCTCGTGGCCAAGTGGTTAAGTTTGCGCGCTCTGCTGCAGGTGGCCCAGTGTTTCATTGGTTCGAATCCTGGGCGCAGACATGGCACTGCTCATCAAACCATGCTGAGGCAGCATCCCACATGCCACAACTAGAAGGACCCACAACGAAGAATATACAACTATGTACCGGGGGGCTTTGGGGAGAAAAAGGAAAAAAATAAAATCTTTAAAAAAAAAAACCCAAAATGCACAGTAAATTATGGCACAACCAATCAGAGGAGCAGTACACGGATTTTAATTGAGCACTTTAAATCCTGTGGAAACATGAAGAAATGCTTATGAATAAAGATATAAAATGGTACGTATGCAATGCGCACAATTATGTAAAAGCATGTACCTATATGGACAAGGGTTAGAAAAGAATATAATGAAAATTGGACCATAAAATCAGGATTATGATTTTTTTATTTCTCTGTAACATTCTTTACTAAAATTTTCCTTGGGCTTTGGAGTCAGATGGCCCTGACTTTGCTCAGAGGCTCTGCTACTTATCAGCTATGGGACCTTGAGAAATTTACTCTTACTTTTCTGAGTCAGTTTCCTCTGCAAAACGGGGATGTGGGTGTTCACGCCTCCTGGACTGCCTGCCGTGCACAGAAACCAGACCGCCTCAGGAGAGCTCTTGGCACAGTGCCTTGTACACATTAACTTCTCAAGAACTGGTAACTGAGTTCAAGGATATTATGAGCCCCAGGGGTATTTTGTATACAGAAGCTTTTATTTCTAATTTCTTTAGGAGAATATGTTTATTTGTGTGTGTGTTAAATTGACTTAGGCTCATTGTAAAGAAAATCATAACACAGAAAAGCCTAAGGAAGCAAAAATTATCCAAAATAAACACCTAGAGATGACCACTGAAAATATTTTGTTAATGTCTTCTAGAGTTCCCTCTAGTCTGAAGAAACAGATTTATATAATTTTCTGTAAAAGGGACAAACTATACTTACATTCTAGACATGCTTTTTCTCAACAACGTCGTGCGCTTCTTTTAACGTCAGTAAGGACAGATATAGCATCATTTTTTAAACAACTTTACTGTGGAGAAATTTTTTAAATGTACAAAAATAAAGAAAACAGTACAAAGAACTCACCCATCACCTAGCTCCTACAATTAGCAACTTGTGGATAATCTCATTTATCTGTACCCAGCTCACTCCTCCAACACCAGATTATTTCAGAGCAAATTTGGTCGTTCTTTTTCGTTCCTGTTATGAACAATGCCTTGGTGTATATTCTTTTGCTCTTAAAGAGTAAAGGCCTCTCCCTCCCAACCCCCAAGGCGATGGTACTCAAAATATTTAACTACCAGTAAGACAAGGCTATTGAACAATCAGAATAGACATGGGCCACGGGGCTGGAACAGGGCCCTGGGGGACCCCACTCCTACCCCCGGGCCAGGCATTAACCCCTTAGTTGCTGAATTATGAGGAGGCCTGAGGGTGCCAGGGGAGGAATTGGGGTGACCAAAGTGGCAGGGGGTACATTTGAGGGTCCTTGGATGATGTATCCAGACAACCAGTATAGCAGCATTTCAATAACTGGGCGTCAACCCTCTGCTTCCAGTACTGTCCTAAGAGGGAAGCACTGTTAACAGTTTCCTGGGGTATCCTTCCAGAAGAGTTCTATGAATATATATGTATATAATCTTTAAAAATGTTTACATGAATGAGGCATACTTTACCCACTGTGCCATGCCTCGCTCTTTTTACATAACAGGACAGCTAGTAGATATTTCTGTATTGGCACAGATGGATCTACCGCATTCACAGAGGCTTGATGTTGCCTGTATGGCTCTAAGAATATAGAGGTGTGTGTGAGCATACACACGTGTGTGATTTAGGATCCTTTCTCCCTGTTCTTTTCCTTTTTTGCATCTTTCTCTGATCATTTTACCTGAGGCTCACTGGACCAAATGTGCCAATTGGTGACACTGTAGTCACCAGTGAGCCAGCTGAGCCTTCGGAAAGGTCACTGGTTAGCATTAATAACCAGAAGAAAAAATTATATAAAACATCTTTTCCTAAGAGCTTACCTTGGACTTCCCAAAGATTTGTTTTTCCCATGTGGTTCCTCTCCAAGTCAAGAGTCTTAAAGACACCACAATGTTATGGAGAAACTGTTTCCCATGAACACAGAATCAGAATTCATTTTAGGCCAAATCCAGAGGTTCAAGAACCCGAGACTTGAGTGGTCATTCCCAGACCTTAGTGGTTGTTGAAATCCAAAGCAAAACTCCACAGCCTGTGGAGTGACAGGCTCTCAGGGAATCCAGTCAAAGGCTTTCACAAAGGCTGAGGCGGCATGAGCACGAATTTCCCTCGCAAAGACAATCCAGTCTGAGTCTTTCAATATGGCAATGAAGTCAAACTAGAGGAGAAAGTCACCCCTTGCTTCAGACTCTCTTGACTCAGGCCTTCAGTGGCGAGGTTTGTCTCTGGGAGATGGCAAGAGAAGGTTTGTTTCTCTTGTTACTATGGAAACAGAATAGCACACCTCATTGGCTCAGGCACTCTCCTCTTAAAGGGAGAAGGCTGGAGAAGCAGCCGGTAAGCAATTCTCGAAGGCACAAGACAAAAGATGCTGAAGATGTACTTTCAGAGGAAATAGAATTAAACAGTGCTCCTAGGCTTAATCGGCCTATGGCAGAAGTTGCCAGACAGAATCTGTGATGGATGTTTAAGTTCCTCTTGTCATTGGCTCACAGAAACCTAAAACTCCAAAGCAGGCACTTTCTTCCTTGAATAGAAGGCTTCAAAATCCATAAAAGTACACATCCCCCAGAACAGGAGTCTTTTTCAGTTGCCAATGGGTTCAGTTTTTTTTTCCCCTTAAATAAAGATGCTTTTGCTCATTATAGAAAAAAAAACCAACCAGCTTCTTAGACCAGTGGCTTTCATTTTTTTTATTGCAAGTCATTATAAGAAATATATTTTACACATTTGACAATAAAAAGTTGCTTGAAATAATAACCTTATTATATACTACTCTCATCTGTTTCTTTTTCTTTATTTTAAAATCAAAGCTGATTACAAATCCACTTGATTGCTTTCAGGATCCATTGATGAGTCACAAACCACAGTTTACAAAACATTGCTATAAGTTCAACTCCACACTTGCTCTCTATTTTGTGCCAGGCGCTGTTGTGAGGTGTGGGCTAGAGCTCAGTTCCTGTGCTCCGAGGAGCTTAGAGACCAGTGAGGAAACAGACAATTAACAAGTTCAATAAAAGCACAATGAAGCTTACATTAAGGGCCTCACCAAACGCAGGGGGAATGTATAGCAGATATTTCTCTTCCAGTTTAATGAGTTAGGCAACAGTTTTAATCAGAGAAGAGATCTGACTAGCTTTGCATATTAGAAAGATCATCTTAACTACAACGTCGATTGGAGGGGCCAAGACAGGAGGCAGGGAAACCAGTTAGGGGTCTGCGGCAGTGGTCAAATGGGACATTATGGTGGCCTCAACTAAGGGAGAAGCAGTGGAGATGGAGAGAAGAGGCAATAGGACTGGCTAATTGCTTGGATGTCAGGGAAAAGGAGGAGGTGATGAGGATGCCTGGGTTTCTAGCTCAAGCAACTGAGTAGATGGCAGTTGCATTTATTGAGATGGGAAAGTCTGGGATAAACAGGCTCAGGGGAGCAGATCATGACTTCAGGCTTGGGCACGTTGAGTTTGACCTGCCAGGGAGTCATACAAGTGGTGATGTCCATTCCAGAATTTGTTACATGTTTGGGGAGTTTAAAAGAAGAGTCTAGGCTGGAACATTTTAGGAGTCTTCGGAGTAGATAGTACTTAAAGCCAAGGGAGTGGATAAGATCACACGAGGAAAGGGTGTTGCATAAGAAGAGGGTCAGAGCAGAGCCCTGGGAATACCAGTATTTACAGTATTTCTCAAAGTGTGCGTCATGTGTTAGTTAAAATATGTACAACTATCACTTAACTGAAAGTGGCTAAAATCAAAGAAGTTCATTAATTTCATGAAATGCAAAGTCTGGAGATAATGCTAACAGAGTTGAAGCAAAAACTCAGCCATGTCATTGGGGAACTGGGTTCTTTCCATCTTTCTGTCATGTCAGCCTCAGATGTCCAGTGAGGGGAGCCTCGTGGTTGCGCTACGGTGGCCGCAACTCCAAGCACATGAGCAGGCTGCATGGAGACAAGACTTCAAAAGCTAAAAGGGAGGGAAAGAAGTTACAAAAAGAGGACAATGGATAGAATTGACTAGTCATCCAGTCAAATCCATCTCCATCTAGAGATCGGATACTTACTTCAAGTCTGTTTATTGTGTGAAATTGTATATTTAAATATTTTCTTATGATTTAAAAGAAGCAGGATTTGGGTCTCATGTGGAGAGTGGCTAAAAACAAAGAGACAAAGGAAGCGGGGGCTGAAGGAACACCCTGGCCACTTGACTTGGCCAAGGCTTAGTATCAATTACCACTACTCTGGAATTTTTCCTCTCCTCTTTTTAGACATGCGTACAACTTTGTCAGCTCTAAAACAGCAGAGCGGAAGGAAATGAAGGCTTGTAGGAGTTACGTATTAATTGCCCATCTCTTTGATTGAATTTAGGGAAACTTTGGGATTGCATAAACAGCTCTTTCCAAAGACCCAGGGAGGGGCCGATGCTACTAACATCCTCAGTAACTTTCCCCAAAGCAATGTGCCTTAGTATTTGGAATGGAGGTGGAGGAGGCCAGAATACCAATAGCATAACAAAGTAAGTTGAATAAATGAATGAAACTGTGACATAACAATTCAGCTCTTGTATCAAAATTAGTCTGCACCTCGGCTGGGAAGTGGGCACACCTCGTGTGATGCTGCAGCCCTCGGGATGTGGCAAATGTGATCAGCCCCAGCACTGAGAGGCTTTCCATTTGTGGCTCTGTGAGAACACTCTCCATGCAGAAGAGTGTCTCTTCTCATTGTCTCCGAGTTCCTTAATTCCCTTTGATCATTTCTTGTCTTTCAAGATCCGACCATCAGGTGCTATACTAAGTCCCACTGACTCATTCAGCTGTTCCCAAATGGCCCCTTGCCAGGGAGCCACAAGAATGATGGGAGAGCCTGCAGTGGCACCCTCACACCTAGAAAGAGGGGCCACTGCACTGAGCCCTGGGCTCTGCCTAGCACAGGCATTCAAAAACTCGAGTTTATTAACAAACATGTGCTTGATCTGGAGCTCAGCTCTGGAACAGCAGGACCTGAAACCCTAAACATCTGCTCTCATCATTAACATCATGCAGGCCCCAGGAGAATGCTTCTCCACGTCTCTGGCCCTTTATCTTCAAAATAAAAGATGACCGTGTCAAATGCAAGGGAGGTTTGTGGGTCGCGCTGCTGCTAAGATCAGAGACAGACCCAGCTTTGGAATGCATGGTGGGCAGGGGCAGCAGCAGTGAGGTTGAGAGGAAAGGTAACTTCTCAAAAAAAAAGATAGCATGATTGCAACACATTTACACATAATGAAATACTGTTTTCCAGTGGTGCTGAGTATCTGCTTTTTGCTTTTCATTTTTTAATTTGTAATTCCACCGGTACTCATATATTGGAGTGGTACTTGCAAGAACTGCATATGGTAGCTGAAGAACATTTAGCAATATGAATTCTGATTTTCTTTAAATTTATATACACATAGGTTGTAGGGGAGGAAGAAATATTCCTTTGCCCTCTAGGTTCTTCTGGCTGGTATAACAATTGAGTTGACATGAGACACAATAACAGAAAATCAAACAAATTAAATAACATGTATACGTGGGAGAAACCCAGGAAAACTGAGTAAACTGCCAAAATGGCCGAAGCCACCACCTAAAATACTATCTTTAGCTAAAGACCAAGAAGGATGTTGGAAGTAGTGGTTTGGGACTTCAAACAGAAGAAAGATTATTCACATGGAGATGGAAAAGCAAATGTTTGGTAAACAAACATTTGCCATGCCTTGCAAAGACAATGAGACATGGAGGGGATTTTGATCAAACGGGCCTTGCTAGGTTCCTGTCTATCACACCTAGTTCATATTATACTATAATCAACTATGGTGATAGCTCCTTCCTGAAATAGGCCTTCTGTCTTAAATTATTTTACGCACTTAGGAGGGAGGTCAAAGTTTCTTCCTGAATCTTTTGTTCTTAAAAACAATCAATCCAAAGAGACACACTTTAGGGTGGAAAATCCTGATCCCTTACAAGGTGTAGAAGGAGTGAATGAAGCATGGTGCCATTTCTTCAAATTATTGTATGACCTGGAGATTGCTTTGAGAGGTGGTCAAACAGCCATGTGAGTGGTAGTGATTTATATGAAATTAAAATAACTTTCTAAAATTTCTGGCCCATTGCTGTAATGTTTGCTTGCTTTTTTAACAACTTAGTGATTTTGCTGAGAAGGCAAGAAAAACAAACTTTATGGAATAACTTTGGTCTTTACACATTTGGCTCATATGTATTTTTCTCTAACATCTCACATCACCTTTGGTGTGTTTTACTCATACTTTCTCACACTGAAGAATAAAACACTTCATGCTAATCTGGGCAACACTATCTGCCAGCCAACAGTTGTATTTTGGCATCTTTAACAAACTTGCACAGCATCATTTGAAAATTTTGTGGC